AGTGCCAGTTGGTTGTTTAAGCTCTGGGCATGGAATTTGTGCCAAGACCTGCTGGCAGCTGCGGATACTCATCAACTGGCAAGAATAAAACCTCAAAATTCTCTTTGCAGCTAACACCATGCAACAGAAAGACATTCCCCTCCCCCAGCTCTACCTTTCAAAATCAGTCTCCAAAGCTTTATAGATTTCCTCCTTATCCTGCCTGCATATTTGTTGGCTGAAGGATGATCATTCCACAATAGGTACATGCTAGGAATATCGGTTTATGAACCTGACAAAAAAAAAAAAGACAAAATAGAAATCTACACAGTGATGTTTTCTCTACCAGGAGAATTGAGAGATCGACAGGGAGAGAGTGTCCATTGATGATAATTTCTTTTCTGAATTGTGGATTCTTGGTTGTGTTGAAGCATCAGCAAAACCGTCTGACTGAGGGGTGTTATTAATTGCTCTAACCTGAAGTTTTTATTTTAGATGCAAAGATTAAACAGATGGAAACCATTCCATGGCAGGGAATCAACTCCATTGATTTTATTCTCCCTGGAATTTGCTGTTTGAGTGCAAACCTCACCATTTTCCCTGGGCAGTTCCATCAATTGATACAGATGAATATGCATTTCTGATCTTTTGTAAAGTGTTTGCAAATAATGTTTATATTTAATTTTCTCCCTCTGCAGAACCCAGAGCTCTGATTTCATAAGACAATGTCCAGGAAAATTTGTACATGTGTTTCAGAATCCAGCAATAACAAGGCTGATGAAGATAAGAACGGGGTCACTGGTTTGACCTATGTGAGTAAAATTATTGTTAGGGCAGCTATTGCTTTGCTAGTCAGATTATTTGTTAAGTCTGGAATGGTCTGTTAATGTTCTATTAAAGGGAGTTTATGGGTCACAGAATGACCCCTAATAGCTAGGAATCTCTCCCTCCCTCCCTCCCTCCCTCTCTGTCTCATGAGATGATCAGCTGATCTCAGATAATATGACACCCTTTCACCTGAAAGAAGTAAGCAAATGTGTGCCCCCAGGCTGGGTGCCCCAGACTCTCACTATATTGTTAAAGAGATTCATGCTAGAAATTTACGCAATTAAAGTGGATTAAAGCATCACTAGTACAATAAATCCACTTGGGAGGAAACCTGACTTTCTGAGGTTAGCGGAGTGCTGAGCAAATGCTCCAAAAAGCGTGAGTTGAACAAATGATTAATAGGAAGATGAAAAACAAAACAAAAACCTGCACTGTTGTATAACCTCTCCTCCATAAACCAAACAGGAAAAAATGCTCAATAAAGGCTGGGCATTGTCTAAACTCTGCATTTGCTTTGTTCAAGCAAATCAGGATGGATGCTCCATAAACAGCTCAGCTGGAGGAGCCCAAACACAGCTGCCCAAAAAGTCAGAGAGAGAAAAAGCTGAATGTTTCCGGTTGGAGTTAGCCAGAACTGAAGGTGCAGCCTCCAGGGCTCCACAACCTGCTCCCTGGGGAGGATGTCCTGCTTTGGATAATCACCCTTTTGCCTCATCTCATGTTCTGCCTGCATATTTGTAAATAAGCAAATGTTAGAAAGACCCCTTAAGTCTCTAGGAAGCTGCTTGGGGCCATTGCTGATGTTGACATCCAAGGGGCTCCTTAATTCCAGCTCACCTGTAGCTGTGTTTGTGGCCACCTTCTAAGTCCCCCAAAATGTTATGCCCTGGCTCCATGGCATTGTCCTAAAAACATGCAGTGCCCCAGAACTTCCATCATCCAGGAACTGGGGCAGGTTTTCAGTACTCTTTTACTCAAAGGAAAGTACAGTCGTACCTCGGGTTACATACGCTTCAGGTTACAGACTCCGCTAACCCAGAAATAGTGCTTCAGATTAAGAACTTTGCTTCAGGATGAGAACAGAAATCGTGCTCCGGCAGCACAGCGGCAGCAGGAGGCCCCATTAGCTAAAGTGGTGCTTCAGGTTAAGAACAGTTTCAGGTTAAGAACAGACCACTGTATATTCAGTAGCAGAAGCTTCTGGAAAAGTTGGCCACTAGAGGGAGCAGGAAACAATATTTAAGTTAGAAGCAAGAGGTTGTAGCTGCTGAGATTTTCCATTCTGCACACATATTAACTTGGGCTCTATCTGGGATAAAAGCCCAAAACTAGGGACAGTGAGTAGAGTGGGGCGGAACTGGGTTCATTTTGCATATAAAGGGAAACCTGCTTAATTATCACTTTCCGAAGCAATGCAGCTGTCCTTCAGAATTTGCACTTCTCTGAATTTTGCTGTGCAGTTCTCCAGCCAAATAGCATGTGCTAAAATGCATTTCCTAGGGTAGGAAGTGTACAAGAATGCGTATGTTTTGGTGGAAATAACAAGTAGGGCAAGTATGCTTTGCAAAATGTGTGCATTAGGCAAAATTGCACACAGAAATGTGTATATTAGACACTTGCTCGAAAATGCTGATGAATTTTCATGATGACTTAAAAAAAAAAATCAAGGTGATGTGGAAATGTGGAGAACTGAAAGATGAGAATTGGAAAGACGAGAAGCTGAAAGTACTGAAATCATTAGATACAGCCACCCCTACTGGCAACCCATCTTTCCCCTGCACATACTCCTTGTAATTTATATATGTGCTAATATAATTTCAGTCAGGAAAGCATTGTTTAATGTCTGGATAAGGTATAAGGATTTATTGGAAAATAAAACCCCAAGGTGGTTGTCACCGATGGAAGCGAAAGCACTGAAAAAGCTCAATATGGAGGCCAAATGGCCGAAATATTGGGAAATTCTGGAACAAGAGGGAGACAGATTGAAACTGCAGAGTTTTGAGAAACTAAAAAACAAAGTGCGAGATTGGCTTCATTATTATCAGATAATGGAGGCATATAATTCGGACAAGAAAATTGGCTTCCAGGTGGAAATATCAAAATTAGAAACAGAACTGTTAGAACCCAAAACTAAGACTTTATCAAAGATGTATAACTTGCTGTTGAAATGGAATACTCAGGATGAAACGGTGAAATCTGCTATGATTAAATGGGCACAAGTCGTTGGACATAACATAATGATGGCTGACTGGGAACAGTTATGGACCACAGGTATGAAGTTTACGGCATGCAATGCCATAAGAGAGAATATTATGAAAATGATATACAGGTGGTACATGACACCAGTCAAGCTTGCAAAAATCTATCATTTGCCCGATAATAAATGTTGGAAATGTAAAGAAACTGAAGGTACATTCTTTCACCTTTGGTGGACGTGCCCAAGGATTAAGGCTTTCTGGGAGATGATCTATAATGAATTGAAAAAGGTATTTAAATATATCTTCTTGAAGAAACCAGATGCCAATTGGTGTTAAAGAAGGACAGAACTTTCTTTATGTATGCCACAACAGCAGCAAGAATACTTATTGCAAAGTATTGGAAGACACAAGATCTACCCACTCTGGAAGAATGGCAGATGAAGGTGATGGACTACATGGAATTGGCGGAAATGACTGGCAGGATCCGAGACCAGGGAGAAGAGTCTGTGGAAGAACATTGGAAGAAATTTAAAGACTATATACAGAAATATTGTAAAATTAATGAATGTTAGATGATGCTAGAATGAAATTAAGTGGTTCTAGTAGCAATGTCATAAAGGTGTATGTAAAATTGGGGTTAATAGGTGAGATTCTAAAGTTATAAAATATTAAGTTAAAGGACTAAGATATAAACAAAGAGGGAAAGGAATTGCTGAATTAACCAATTGAACTGGAATACAAAAAAGGGAGGTGAGAGGAGGTCAGAGAAGCAAGGAAATGAAATGTAAGATACGGAAGGATTAATTTGTTTTTAAGTGTTTCTTTTTTATTATTATTTTTTTCTGTACTTTGTATCTTGTATGTTTTTTACTTTTCTTTTTTTATATATTTTTCCTTGTTTCTTTTCTCTTTAACTATGTAATTTTTTGTTTTTGAAATTTTAATAAATATCATTTAAAAATATATATATCAGGGGTTTCAGGAAGCAGCTTTTGCCTCTCATGCCAGCCGTGTCCCAGAATAAATGCCTTTTGTTTCTCCTGTAGAAACAAGGGTTCTAGCTGGAAACAGAACAAGGACAACTCACTTTAAAATCTTGCAAACATTGGAGGCAGAACTCCCTCCCACAGGAGTCAGTGATGGCCACAAACCGGGATGGCTTTAATAATAATAATAATAATAATAATAATAATAATAATAATACATTTTATTTATACCCCGCCCTCCCCAGCCAAGACCGGGTTCAGGGCGGCTAACACCAGATATAAAACAATTGATTGAAATACAACTTGAAAAACAAGATTAAAATACAACATTAAAATGCAGCCTCATTTCAGCAGAAACTCAAAAACTTTTTTGGGGATGAAAATGTCAAGTCTTCACCAAGGCTAACTATCCAGACTGGTCCTACATGGGCCAGAAAAAAAAGCCAGGGAAGTCCCCAAGTAGGAGTTCCATCACAGAAGGAAAAAGGAAAAAAGAAAGAGGGGGAGGGGGTCAAGTTAATTCCAAGCCAAAAGCCAGGCTGAACAACTCTGTCTTACAGGAAAGAAATCAGATCCTGCAGGGCCCTGGTCTCATGAGACAGAGTGTTCCACCAGGCCAGAGCCAGTGTTGAAAAGGCTAAAAGAGGGTTAGTCAAATTCACAGAGGGGAGGGTTATAGATGGCTGCTAGCTATGATGACGATGCTCTGACTTCCTGGTGAGAGGCAACAATGCTTTTGAATATCCGTTGCTGAAAACCACAGGAGGGCAGAGGGCTCAGGTCTTGCTTATGGGTTTCCCCAGGCACTTGGTTGGCCACTGTGACAACAGGATGCTAGACTAGATGGGTCCTTGGCCTGATCCAGCCGGTGGTTCTTATGTTAGACTAACACAGAGCATCTCAGTAGACATTTCTGGCTTTTCATCCACCCCACCCCCCGGACAGAATGTTTGGGTTGGTATTTCTTTAACAGGAATCAGCACTGCGGAAGGAACTTTGCATAGATGTCGGAATGTTCCGTGCAGGTTCAGAGTGACCGTTGAGCAGGGCAGTTGGAAAGGGAGAAGCTGGTCTGAGCAGAATGACCGAGACAAAAGCTTCCTTCCAGATGGAAGCGAACTAACAAGGCAAGCAAGTGAGAAGAGGGACGGAGGGGAAGCCATATTAGTCAGAGCACCAAGAAAAGTCACCTTGAAGAGAAGATGGCAGAGCAAGAAAAGAGATAAGTGCTGAACCCACCATAGCCAAGGGCAAAGCTAGAGATCACAAGGGTGGAAAATAGGGTTCCCCGCTTTGTGACCTTAATGCAGCAGCTTGAAGCGTTTGCAGGAAGGTGGCTTAAGCAGAGAGTAGCCTGCCCAATAGTTTTCTGTTTCAAGTTTCTCCAAGTCATTGTATTACCTTTATACAGTTTCTCCTGAATGGACACACTTTTATTTCGGAGCCCACCAGGAGGAAAAATCAGTTCAGGGATGGGAGGTATTTGCAGGGGAGAATTGACTGGGGAGGTTTGACTGCTGCTGTTTTAATGTCCACAAGTCTGACCATATGATGTTCACAGTACTATCCAGTCCTTTCTTATTGTTTTTCCACATCTCTTGTTGTTATTTTCATATATTTTTCCTTTCTCTTTGTGACCTCTGATAGTTTCCACAAGCTAGTTAAAACAGTTTGTAATCCTGCGTGGATATTTTTTTTTAATCCAGTAGCCATATCCAGACGTTTTCCATATAACATCACTTCCATAAATCAAAACAGTCTTAGCGTCATTAATCTTCACAAATCTGCCTCCTTTCTCAAACCTCTGAGGAGATTCACCAGGAATGCAGTCTGAAAACAAATCCGTTCCTCCTCCTGGCTATAAATCCTTTGGCAAGATGGCGACTCTGAATTAATTCCTGCGCCATTCCAAAAGCTCTTATTCCTTCTCGATCTCCATAAAGCATACTTTTGGTTAAAGTTTTTATTTCCACACAGACCTTAATCATCCTGCTTGGGTCAGTTAAACCGACGGTTCTAATGAGAAGGGGTTCTTGGGTAATCACATAGAAGAAAAGTAAAAAAGGTTCCCCCCCCCATTCAGTCCCATTGTCGACATACCCAGCCTTTGATGTATCTTCATCGTAAAATATTCCTGTTGCTCCAACCCATCTTCTTCTTTCGCAGAGGTCCCTTCAATTAGCAGTCTTCACTCCCCTTCTTCACTTGAAATATGTGCATTTGCTTCTTTTGTGATTAATTATTCCAAATTGCTGCAGCTAGTGCGCTATCAGAGACAGTGTCCAGGAGAGCCGAAGTCCACACGGGGGCATTCTGCCTAGTGCCCTCACCCCCTTCTTTTGAATTTGGGGGTGATTTATGGGCACAGAAGGCAAGGGCAGTATTCCCCATCCCCTTGGGGCAACAAGGGAGGCTGCCTACTCCCATAACAGCCTCTTAATTACCCCGTGTGGTCCGGAGAGATGGTATTGTCGGCCATCTTCCAATGCGCCCCTAGTGGCCCCCCAGGCTTCGTCAACCTTGGCCCTCCAGATGTTTTGAGACTTGAATTCCCATCATTCCTGACCACTGATCCTAGTTAGGGTTCATGGGAGTTGTAGGCCAAAAACATCTGGAGGGCCGAGGTTGAGGAAGCCTGGATTAGATGACGCTTTGGGTCCCTTCCAACTCTATGATGCTATGATTCTATTATACTATCCCAAGGAGCAGAAGCAATAAGCTGGTTAGGATGGAGCTGCTATGCTAGCTTCCCAACAGGTGGGTAATTGTTTCTTCCTGGTAGGGGGCAAGGCGAGGTGATGGAGAGGATGGTGCAGTGCAAAGGCAGGAGCTGAGCCAATCTGGTGCTCCTGGTCACCACCATGTTTATGCTATGTTGACCTCCCACAGTTTTCTCACTCCCTTTGTTACTCCCTTTGTCACTCCCTTTGCAGGTAAGCAACAGTGAGAGCCTTGTGGCCCCAGCTAGTCTGTCAACGCCTGGGCAATCCCCCATCTGACTTCCACACTCTTCGGGAAGAAAGGATTGTAGCCGAACAGAGCCAGTAAATGGTGCCTTGTCAGTTTGGGATCCTTACTTGCTCAAGAGCTAACCAACTCTTTCTGCCACCCAAATGAAAATGGTTTCTTGCAGATGGGCTCTCGGCATTGATAGTTGTGGGTATCTTTCCCCACAGCCAGGGCAACCAGAGACCCCTCTTGCTCCAATGATAGGAAAGTCAACTAAGTTTTCAAAAAATAAAAGCTAAAGTTGGAAGGCCATGTGGTATGATCCCTGAAGGCACAGGAAACCCAGTGTTACATACACCATCCCTGATAGGTGGCCATCGACCTTGTGGTTGTTGTTTAGTCGTGTCTGACTCTTCGTGACCCCATGGACCAGAGCACGCTAGGCACTCCTGTCTTCCACTGCCTCCCGCAGTTTGGTCAGACTCATGTTTGTAGCTTCGAGAACACCGTCCAACCATCTTGTCCTCTGTCGTCCCCTTCTTCTTGTGCCCTCCATCTTTCCCAACATCAGGGTCTTTTCCAGGGAGTCTTCTCTTCTCATGAGGTGGCCAAAAGGATTGGAGCCTCAGCTTCACGATCTGTCCTTCCAGTGAGCACTCAGGGCTGATTTCCTTCAGAATGGATAGGTTTGATCTTCTTGCAGTCCATGGGACTCTCAAGAGTCTCCTCCAGCACCGTAATTCAAAAGCACCAGTTCTTCAGCAATCAACCTTCTTTATGGCCATTGACCTTAGTCACCTCCTAATGATGGATGGTCCACTACTTCAGAAGCAGCCTGTTCCACTGTTGAACAACTTTTTTCTTTCTCGTCGTTAAAGTAATAGCCTCTCTCTCTCTCTTCCTCTCTTTTTACTTTGAAGAGAAATCTGACTGTAAGCGATGAGCCATGGGATCTGCAAGCGGGCAAGGTGTACGTGTCGGAGTCTTGCTTGAGTCCTGGGTTCAACACAGTCACTGCCAAAAAGTCCTTCCACGAGAAATATTCTCCAAGTTTGGAAACCATGATCCCCATCCACCTGAAAGCAAGGCAAGTTGTGTGGCATTAGGAAGCTGCCTAACGAGTCAGACCATTGAGTCCATCAAGCTCAGTACTGTCAACACAGACCGGCAGCAGCTTTCCAGGATTTCAGGCCTTACCTGGAGATGCTGGGGATTGAACTGGGGCAGGGGAGGGTCTTCTGCAAGTGAGGCAGATGCACTACCACTGAGCTACATTTCCTATAATTGGAATGCAAACAGCTTAACAAAGATTGTTTTGAATAGCATTTGCACCCTCTCGTTCTTTGCTGGAAAAAGGCCAGCAAAAATAAATAAATAAATAAACCTCAAACTTGTGGGTCGGCATAAAACTGTGCACCTTATTTATTTATTTATTTATTTATTTTGAAAGGTGAATTTCTTTTGTGAATTGCTGGGCTATAAAAATACTCCATCCGTTGAAATGTTAAGGTGTGTCCTTAATACTGATTGATGAGAGACAGACCTTTTGAAAGGATTCTGTTTATGACTCTCTCTGTTTAATACAATGTTACCATGATATTGAACAAAAGAAGTCCTATTTTATTCCATTGATGTTTATACCCCTCCTTTCTATGATAAAACCAGAAGCTTCCTGAAGCCAGCAGGTCCAGATCTGGTCAGTGCTTGGCGCTCTAGATATACCATTCTGAGTTCTGCAAAAGTCAAGAAATAAATGAATTATAAATAACACATGGGTATGCATAAAAAAAAGGGATGCAGGTGGCACTGTGGGTTAAACCACAGTGCCTACGACTTGCCGATCAGAAGGTCAGCGGTTCGAATCCCTGCGACGGGGTGAGCTCCTGTTGTTCAGTCCCAGCTCCTGCCCACCTAGCAGTTCGAAAGCACGTCAAAGTGCAAGTAGATAAATAGGTACCGCTCCGGCGGGAAGGTAAACGGCGTTTCCGTGCGCTGCTCTGGTTCGCCAGAAGCAGCTTAGTCATGCTGGCCACATGACCCAGAAGCTGTACGCCGGCTCCCTCGGCCAATAAAGTGAGATGAGCACCGCAACCCCAGAGTCGGCCACGACTGGACCTAATGGTCAGGGGTCCCTTTACCTTATGCATAAAAAAGCCATTTGCAGCAGAGATGGTGACCCTCAATATGTTTCTTGCACTCCAACTCCCATCAGCCTCAGCCAATGGTCAAGGATGATGGGAATTGTAGTCCAACAACATCTGGAGGGCCACACATTCTCCACCCTTGGTTTTTCATGATCTGGGTTTGCGCTAACAAGCATATTTGCAAATAAAAATATAGCGGAGAAAGAGCATACGTACATATGAACAGTGGAATGATCTACGTAAGCAACAAAAGGATAGCAAATAAGAAGTGCAGACTATTACACCCAATTCTTTTGGGGGCCTTCAGTTGGGGTGTGACTTCCCGCATTAAAAAGCAGAAACTTTAACTAATCTTATTGCTTTCAGAGCTACTTCCTTTTGGCCACATTTATTTGTATTTAACCAATTATTGGTAATAGCTATTGATTTCCTTATGAATTAGTTATGGCACATCTGTGTCAGGTGAAGGTTTGTACATATTTGGTATGTAGCTATATATAAATAGTTTGTGCTTCAAATTTCCTTTACCTTTATGTTTTCATTAGTTAAGAATGTGTGTGTGTGTGTGTGTGTGTGTGTGTGTATAATGCAGTTTCTGGTATCACTAGATCAACTTCATCAGCTTTGTCAAATTAATTAAACTGAATAGTTTTAAATGGATTTTGAATAAATGTGCAATTAATTGTTACTGTTCTGAATGATGCTTTTCATAGGGTAGAGGGCACTGGGGATAGGTTTATGGAACCAAGGGGCTGTGGCCCTAGGAAATTTGCGAACCACTCAGTTAGACGTTAGGAGAAAACCCACAGGAGTTTTTGAGTTTGGATGGACAAACTGCCTGATGCAGCAGAAGGCAGTTTGCTAGCAATGCAATAGCTTTTTGTTTTATTTTACTCTCTCCCCTGTCCCGGGCAGGTCAGCTGTGAATCCAATAGACAACGCGGGGCTGATCTCATTTGCAACATTTTCTTGGCTCTCGTACCTCATGCTCCGAGGATTCAAGCACAAACTCAGCATGGACTCCTTGCCTCCTCTCTCTCCCCTTGACAGCTCAGAACCAAACACCAAAAGGTAGCAGGGTTTTGACACACCGGTACAGTCATAACTCACGTTACGTTTGCTTCCATGTTACGTTCTTTCAGGTTACATCCCGCAGCGACCCGGAAGTACTGGAAAGGGTTACTTCCGGGTTTCACCGCTCGCGCATGTGCAGAAATGCAAAATGACGCCACCGCATGTGTAGAAGCGCCGAATCGCAACCCACGCATGCACAGACGCACCACTGCAGGTTGCGCTCTTTTCATGTTGAGAACGGGCCTCTGGAACGGATCCTGTTCGCAAGCAGAGGTACTACCTCAGGTTAAGTACTTAATTCGTTCCGGAGGTCCGTTCTTAACCTGAAACTGTTCTTAACCTGAAGCACCACTTTAGCTAATGGGGCCTCCTGCTGCCGCTGTGCTGCCGGAGCACGATTTCTGTTCTCATCCTGAAGCAAAGTTCTTAACCTGAAGCACTATTTCTGGGTTAGCGGAGTCTGTAACCTGAAGCGTCTGTAACCTGAAGTGTATGTAACCCGAGGTACCACTGTATATGTAAGAGCTTTTCCTGCATGCAGGGAACGATCATTTGCATGTCCTCACGCCCATCTTCTCTCGAGAACTTGAGTATAATAGGCAGTTCTTAGCTAGGAAATAACACTAATCTTGCTGCTCCACTCATGTAAAGTTCAGGGGAACAGGATGGAAGGCCATTGTCTTTCCCTCCCTCCTCCCCCGATTTTTTTGTTGTGCGTGCATGCATGCAATGTTATGATCCTGATTTCATCCAGTCTCCCTGCAATTTTTTCATGCAGAGTCACCTTATGAGCAGGGTTGGCGCCATGACCTGGCATCCATGAGCACCCAACCCCAGGCACCCCAGTAAGGCCTGTTACTCATTCTTTAGTTCAGGAAAGCTTAACACAGGAATACCAGAAGGGTCCAGCTGCTGCATCAGGCCAAAAAGACCCAGCTGCTCCAGCATCCTGTTCTCGCAGTGGCCAGCCAGCTGCCTGTGGGAAGCCTGGAAGTAGGAACCTGAGCACCATGGTGCTCTTCCCACTTGCGATTCCCAGCAAAGTGGCATCTAGAGGGCATGACGCCTCTGAAGGGAAGACCTCTTAGCTAGTAGCCAAGCTGAAAGGCCTCTGCATCTGCTCAGAGGTACGGTCTTCCTGCTGCTTCACATATCATTGGAAGGAAGAACATCATGTGCCAACAAGGAAAGTAGCCATAGCCTTGTGTTCTTCCATCCCTATTTATCTTGTGAACCACTGTGAGATCTTTTGAAGATGGGTGGTATATTAATCCAATATTAATGAATGAATACATACCATAGTATTGATAGCTCTGTCCTCCATCCACGTTGGCCATCAGCATGGCATCTTTTGTCTTGACACTGGATATTAGATAGAATTCTTAGTGGAGTATTTGCTTCAGCATTGAAACAGGTCAAAATGAGAGCTTATATTTGAGCTGGAGGTGCCATCCCATCTGAACTACCAGCGAGGCCCTGATCTAGGCAGGTGCCTACATATGCCTCCCTCCTCCTCCCAAGTAGCATCACTCAAGCCTGAACTTCCTCCCTGGCTCACTGTCCCCTTTGCTCCTATGACCCCAGAGACAGGGGCGTAGGAAGCAGGGGATGGTGGGGGTGGCGCACCCCGGGTGTCATCCCAGAGGGGGGTGACAAAATCCCCCCTGGACGGATCGCGCTGCCACACTGCGATAGGCCCTCCGCTGGAAGGATCGTGCCACCACAATTGGCTCCCCACCGGGAGGATCACCCCCCCGCGCCAGGATGCCGCGATCACCACCCCGCTCTTAAATATATATTTTTTCATCTCATTATGTATCATCTCCCCAAATCCCTTAGCTATTCTACAAGTCCACTGCATATGATAAAATGTACCTTTTGTTTCTTTACATTTCCAACATGTACCTGATTCTGACTATACATCTTTGCTGGTTTACTTGTTGTAAAGTACCATCTATAAATCATTTTAACTTGTGGAACTATTTGACCACAGTATGTAATGATGACAACTAGCACAGTTAGAGCTTTCAATAAGGATTAAGATAAATTTCATTAAGGTCTATCTATGGCTGTTAGAGAGATGCTTATCTAAATTAAGGTAACTGGTGACACCACCCAAGGGAGGAAGGGGGAGAAAGCTTTCTTTGATGAGGGGTGGAGGGAGGGAGGGGGAATTTCAATGGGGGGGGGTGACAAAAAAAATTCTGTGCCGGGTACCACCTGACCTTGCTACGCCACTGCCCAGAGGTGACCAGGGTGAGGTCTGAGAGCCAGCCAGGAAGCCAGGCACCCAGGGTAGGGTGTCTGGATCTGATGGGTCTGGCCCCCTGGGGCCCCAGCAGCTGCCCAGTGGTGTTGGTTGCCAACTGAAGACTAGGAGTGGCTCGTTGCAAGGAATTACTCCCACAGAATTGCAAAGGTCATCTGTTCAGCACTGACTTTGTAGCTAGCCATAAGAAGTGGGTCTCTTCCAACCAGCTTGTGAGTGGAGGAAATGTGCAGTGCTGCTGTTTGCCTTTGACAGATTGCAACACCTTTGGGAAGAAGAGCTGGCCAAAGTCGGTCCCAATAAAGCTTCCTTACGCAGAGTGGTGTTTAAATTTCAAAGGACCCGGATTCTGGTAGACATATCGGCTAACATCATTTCAGTTATTATTGGTGCTTTGGGCCCGGTGAGTAGCATGGAAATACAATTTATAAACACGCTTGAAATGTGTCTTTCGAAGGTGGGTGGGGGGATTGTCGGGTGGCATTTGCCAACCTGGCTCTCTCCAGATGTGTTTGAACTGCTTCTCCCATCATCCTCGGCCAGCATACCTTCCATTTGGCAGATTATCTCCCCACCCTGAAAAGTAACCGAGAAACTCTTTTGCAGACAGTGATCATCCACAACATCCTGGCGCACAGTGAAGACGACTCCTGGGACGTCATCCATGGGATTGGCCTCTGCATAGCCCTTTTCATCACAGAGTTTTCCAAAGTCTTCTTCTGGTCAATGGCCTGGGCCATCAACTACCGCACTGCTATCCGATTAAAAGTTGCCGTGTCGACCCTGACATTTGAGAAGCTGCTGTCATTTAAGACTTTGGCACGCATCTCTGTCAGCGAAGTAAGTTGGCTTTATTTTTTCTGTAGCTCACCTTTCCTCCAAGGAGCTGAAGGTGGTCACATGGTTATCTTCCTCCCATTTTTTAAATCCTCACAACAACCCCACGAGGTAGGTTACAATGAGGGATGCAGCTTATATTCGGGCCAATACAGTATAACCTGGGGCCCAAGTTGGCGCCCCTGTCACTGGATAAGCCTATGAATGACTGCAAGTCATGATGGCCAGATGCTTCCTCCAGGTCTAGAGTCAGCAATTGATGGGGGAAAACAGTAGGAGAGGGCCATTGCCCTCCTTTGCTACTTGCAGACTTCTGTTTAGTTCTGCTGGGCAGCAGAATGCTGGACTAGGTAGGCCTTCAGGAAGATCCAGAACAGGAGGCTGGCATTATAAACCAGGTGGTTACACATCAGCCGATTCGTGTGTTATACATGCCTTGACAATGAATTGAAAACCTTTGATTACAAGATCACTTCTGACTAGAGACAGACAAACCTGTCGACTTTGATTCTCTGAGTTTCTCATTTTTCCAGTCTGCATTTCCACAACACTCTTCTAATTTTTTTAATGCCCTCATGAAAATTTGACATATTAGTGCAAATTTATCTTAACAGATGTAAGCAGTTTAAACCAATAGCACACATTTTTGCAAGCCATTTCCTCAAGATAATGTATTTTTTGTATATTTTTATTTTTATTAATGTGAGATGTTTGTGCACATCACTCTAGTATATGCATTTTGTTACGCATTACATGTACAGGAGAACTGCATTGCAAAATTCAGAAAAGTGGAAACTTGGATGGCTCACACATTGTTTAAGAAAGTACAAATTTAGTAGGTTCGTCTTTAAATGTGAACCAAACTGAATTTCTCCCTCATTCTTCCTTCTGACTAGTTGGTCACAGCATCACTCTTGGTTCCTTTGTATCTTTCAGATGATCAATTTGCTAAGCAATGACGGCTATCGAATATTTGATGCTGCTTTAGTTTGTCCCCTGCCGCTTGCTGTACCTCTGCTGATGACCATCGGCACAATCTATTCCTGCATCATCCTTGGTCCCACGGCACTCCTAGGGCTGGTTCTTTATATTATATTCATACCTGTACAGGTAACACAGTCATTTCCTACATAATCATGGCACTATTTAGTGGGAAGAAACTCCAGTGAAAATCCTCATTATTACATATTTTTTTACATGGCTCTTTATCTGTATATATCTGAAAATTTTATATATGAGTGCTTTATGATGGCTTACGTTTGCAATGCCTAATAAAGGTTTGGCGAAGTGAGTTTATGTCAATAACTGTTTTAGAAAAAAGGCCCCTAGAGAACCTCTAGATGGGTGGGCATTTTTGGTGGGTATATTCTGCAACTTGTCATTGGCCTCATTCACACCATACATTTAAAGCACTCTGGTCCTGCTTTAAACAGTCATGACTTCCTCCAAAGAATCCTGGGAGCTGAAGTTTGTTACAGGTGCTGAGAGTTTTTAGGAGAACCCCTCTCTTCCCCTCTCAGAGCTACCATTTCCCAGAGTTCCCTGAGAAGAGGATGCATAGTTAAACCACTCTGGGAACAGCAGCTCCTGGGAGGGGAGTAGAGGGGTCTCCTAACAACTCTCAGCACCCTTAACAAATGACAGCTCCCAGAATCCTTTAGGAGAAGCCACAGCCATTTAAAGTGGTGCTTTAAATGCCTAGCATGTCAATACGGCCCCTGATGCAATAATGGTGGTAGATTTATCCCTGGGCATCCGCACACCACTCCCCTTTATTAGTTGTTCTGCGATGCTTCCCCAATATTATTGCGTTACTGCCGCCTGGGGCGTCACCCTTGTGCTATAGTACAACATTCGTACAGCACAACCTGGAACATTAGTAGTGTGAATCTTCACAGGATTTCAGCAGGAAGCTACAGGAGTGGATATGAAGTGGTATGTCCTTCTCAAAACTTTTTCAGGTGCAAAAAGGGCTGAAAGCAAGATTGTGTGTAATGGTCCCCATACCATCATGAGCCCAAATAATCCTGAACGCATCTTGTCTGGAAGGGCCCATAGTCTATTCACTGGATGACACAGGACTTATATGTACCCGGGTGAAGTTAGGCATTTCCTGCCTCTGTCATGTTCTTGTTGAGGGTCAGGAAGTTGAACAAGAACTTTCTGACTGGTGTGTCCTCTAAGCCAGAGGTTCCTGAATTATTTTTTTCAGGCCACAGTCCCCTTGGTTCCATAAACCCATTCCTCTGTGCGCCCTACTCAGCCCTACGAAAAGCATTATTCAGAATAGTGGTTTGCATGGCACACTAAGAAAGATCATGGCACCATAAAGTTCATAAGAGTAACAATCAATTGCACATTTTTTCAAAATCCAGTTAAAACCACAGTGGAGCCTCGGGTTGTGAACATGATCTGTGAGGGAGGCACGTTCGCAACCCGCAGCATTCACAACCCACAGTGCCACATCTGCGCACGTGCGGGTCACAATTTGGTGCTTCTGCGCATGCGCAAAGGGTGATTGCCGAAACCCAGAAGTAACCTGTTCTGGTACTTTTGGGTTCGGCGCAGTGCGCAATCCGAAAATGCATAACCTGAAGCATCCATAACCCGAGGTACCACTGTATGTAGTTTAATCGATTCAACAAAATTGATGAACTTGATCCAGATATACTAGCTTTCCAAAGTCTGACAGTAATTTAAACCCCCAGCGCCCCCTGCCACCCTCCTGCCTCTTAGTCCCGGCCCACGTAATCCCACTGCCCTTTAGGGGTGCAACCAGGCTACTTCCATGAGTAGGGGGAGAGGCACTTTCTCAGAGCAAAGCATGTGCTCTACCACTGAGCTACTTGGACCTTCCCCAACACTGAAAGGGCTTTTTTAAAAAAACAAAAACAGGCCCGTTAGTATTTGTCTCTTATATTGTTTGCTCTCTTTGCATTTTGCCTATTTGCTGTAGATGCTCATAGCCAAGATAACATCTGTATTCCGAAGAGCCGCCATTCTGAAGACGGATAAGCGTGTGCGAGTAATGTCTGAGATTTTAACATGCATCAAGCTGATTAAAATGTATGCTTGGGAGAAATCTTTTGCGAATACCATCAAAGGTATGGGGCACGGTGGGAGAAGAGTTCTTTTGCATTTCCGCTGAGTTCCTTAAGTGGATCGTTACCTGCAATTGTCTTTGTTTCAGTGGTCATCCGAGATTATAATTTGCAAAATTGCATTCCATTGTCTAGAATAGGTGGTGTGGCCAAAAGTGGGTGTCGCCTCTGCACACCTGACATGTGGCATGTACAAGCACACAGCCCTTCTCATCTGATCCATGCAGGTCCGCATGGGAGGGGCATTATATACAAATGACGACAGCCAATGTTCAGATGCCCCACAGTGAAATAGCCCACTATTTGGAATTCTTAGTAGCTCTTCAGCTTCAAGGGAGAATATAGGATCCCCAAGGAGAACATCCTGATACCTAAATACAGAACAAAGCTTTAAAAAGGACAGGCCTCCAATCCCAATAATTATTCTTCCCAGGGATTGTGAATGCGGCAACCTGAATTTGTACCTTTTCCGTAGGTTTGCTTTTTGTTCAGTTGTGCGCTCTACTGTATTTCTTATGTTATCAAATTATATGTTTTTGATAAAATAAATACAGATAAATACTTTTCAAAATATGATTTTCAGTCTGGTGACTGGGGAAGGAGTGATCTGCTTCCCCATGAGGGCACCTAGGCTTGGAAAAGGGTTTAAACCTCCCCATTCAACCCAGCTCTGTTAGCGGAAGGGTTACCGCTACCTCCAAAATCAGAGGAGTCTTGACATTTGCTTGCAGTGCGGTAGCTCATCTAGGGTATTGGCATTCCTAGCCTAGAAGGTTCTGTGGTTTATCACTTTGCTAAAATCATAACAGCTTGATATATGTATTTTGCCCTCCCCAGGCACCAGAAAAAAGGAAAGGATAATCCTGGAAAAAGCCGGATATGTACAGAGCGTGAATTCTGCCCTAACTCCAATTGTGTCCACCACGGCGATTGTCTTGACATTCACCTTCCACATTCTTCTGAAGCAAGAGCTAACAGCCTCTGTTGTAAGGCTTAGCCCCAATTTACATTTTGTCAATGATCATTTTGTCAGTTTCATATTTTGATCCTGATGTTGTTGGAATTACTTTTCTGGCACCCTAAAACTTAGGGTCAAACTAACATTATTCCAGCTTTGTATGTGGTTACTCACCTGTTCACCATGTAGTTCACCATGGATGACCAGGCATTCTGTGATGGTGAGTGCATTGCATTCCTTGGAGGTGAGAGTAAGAAGGCCAGTGGAGGAAGAATAAACCACTCCATCCCTTGTCTACCAGCCTGCTTTGTTTCCATGCTAGCTGTGGAAGAAGGAAAGTCTCTTCATCCACAACCTGCACACAAAACAAGCATGGGGGGTAGAGATGAGAAAGATCACCCCATCCCTCCTCCACTAGTCCACATGATCAAATGCCTTTTTTTAAAAAAAAAACCCCCAACATTCTAAGAGGTTAGCTGGAAACCTCTTAGAGGGGGGCACACAGAGAAGGACCTCGGATGCTGATTGTAGGGTCTGGGTAAGTTCATACCTGGAAAGGCAGCCCTTGGAAACCTTGGGGTATTGGGGTCCTGTGTTATGCAAGGCTTTATAGGTCACAATCAGTATTTGGAGTTGGTCCTTTTGTCTGCATACCTGTGCTGATGAGCTGGATTCCTGGTTTACCTCCTTCCACAGCAAATTGAGAAGGGCCATAGATCAGTGGTAAGCACCTGGTTTGTATGCAGAATTATTATTATTATTAAGAATACCATGCCCATCTGGCTGGATTTCTGCAGCCATTCTGGGCAGCTTACAGCATATACAGAATGTCTCAGATCCAATCCCTGGCATCTCCAGGTTGTGCTGGGAACTTCCTCTGTCTGAAATACTGGCAAGCCACTGCTGCTCAGTGTAGACAAAGCTAGATGGACCAAACGATCTGACTCAGTAGGCAACTTCCTATGTTCCTATGAGAGCTGCTACTAGTCACTGTAAACAATACTAAGCTAGACGGACGAGCGCTTTGACGATAAGTATAATGCAGCTCCTTATGTTCTATATGGCAAAAGAGCTGGAGAAGGACTGGGAACAGGGGAAACTGTGTCTCCCAAGCCTCCATCAGAGAAATTCAGTGCAGCATCAAAATTCATATTGCAACCTGGCAGCTTTAGTCCATGTTGCCATTGTCGAGGTGGTGTAGCGGTTGGAATGTTGGGCTAGGACTGCAGGGAGTGAGGTTTAAAGTCCCAGTCTGCCATGATACCAGCTGCCTTTTAACTCCTTTCCCTTTTCAGGCCTTCAGCATGATTGCTATGTTTAACGTCATGAGGTTTTCACTTGCCATTCTGCCGTTTTCTGTGAAAGCCTTTGCGGAAGCAAATGTCGCTATTAAAAGAATGGAGGTAAAACAACAACAACACAAATGTTTTAGGTTTGTTCAGTGGGAGCATGAGAAACAATGGCCTAGGCTGAGGTTCCTGTACACTTTTGCTGTAGCAATATGCACTTTAATCTATTATTACACCGGAGGCTGCTTGCTGGGGAAATTACAGGAAACTGTACAAGTAATCTTACTCTGTTCATAACTCTTTGCTCTTGCTCTTTTTTAAAAAATTATGTTAGTTCTGACATTCAGGCTAGTTCCCAGAGTTTATTAATCCAGTGACTTAGACACGCAGCTTCTGGACATCCCGTTTTACTCCAAGCATACCTCTGCCACAATCACATAAGGAGTTAATTCTGTGCATTATTTTATTGGGTGCCAACCTTGACCCTGCCTCTCTCCTTTTTTTCCTTTAGAAAATTCTGCTCACCAAAACTCCTCCTGCATATGTGATGGCACTGGAGGACCCCCGGAATGCTGTCGTCCTGAAAAACGCCACTTTGTCCTGGGTGAATTTGCCTAGTGAAAGCAGCACTAGAAGTAATAAGGAGAATGTCCTGAAAGTGAAAAGTGCACGCAAGCCCCAATCCACGACTGGAGTCACCACGTCTCACTCTCAGATATCAAGTTCTGGGAAGGAGTGCAGTAGTAGCAATGTCCTGTCCAACATCAGTTTTATGGTGAAGAAAGTAGGTATACCTGAACGATAATTTGCAGAAGAGTAGCTGTGTTAAGTCCAGCAAGGAAGAGCCGTGTGGCACCTTGAAGACTGACACGTTTCTATGGCATAAGCTTTTGTGGGCTGGTGTCCGTCAGATGTATGAAATGTTACCCTGAGTTGCAGATACATGCACAGAACACAGGTTATATCCAGTGCTATCTTTACTCAAAGCAGACCCATTGAAATTGATGGGCATGACTAACTTAGGTAGATTAATTTCAGTGGGTCTACTCTGATTAAAACTTAGTTGGCTATGGCCCATGGCTGGGTGAGAGAACGGTAAAAATTGAGATCAGAGGGAGATTAAAGTTTCATCTGCACTGTGTATCTATTGCATCCCTTTGAACAGTCATACTTCTCCCAAGGAAAACAGAAAACAAGAACCAAAAGAATTGTTTCTCACAGGAAGTAAACAAAGCACAGATTTCTCAGCTCTTACACACAATTTGTGCGTAAAGTTTTAGACACGGCAATGTCATTGATGGGCCTTTCTCTGAAAGTCTAGTTTTGATGGATGTCAGAACTTAATGGGCCAATGTTATCCATGATGCAGAAAATAGTATGTCCTAGAATCCTTTGGGAAAAGCCATGACTATTTAAAATGGTATAATACTGCTTTAAATATATAGTGCAGATGGGGCCTAGATCAGGCATCCCCAAACTCAGCCCTCTAGATGTTTTGGAACTACAGTTCCCATCATCCCTGACCACTGGTCCTGTTAGCTAGGGTTGATGGGAGTTGTAGTCCCAAAACATCTGGAGGGCCGAGTTTGGGGATGCCTGGCTTAGATGAAGTAAAGTAGACAGTGATAGCAAATGCTTTTTTTCTGAGAGGACGCAGGGGTACACAAACCCTTAAACATTTTGTGAATCTTTGTACTTTCGTCCATTTACTGTGTTTATTTCCCCGATTTTAACTATAAAATTGTGATTTTCTTGAGTCAAAATGAGAGTACTCCTAAACATTTTTTTTAGAAAAAAGCACTGGTGATAGATATGCACTTAACTGGGGTAATTCATTCTATTTCTAATAAATCTTTTCTAACATTTCTTTCTGACTTCGATGTGTTACGGTTAAGAGTTAAGCAATCACTCTATGCATGTTCATGTTGGGAAAAATGCACAATTGCTATGAATAGATCTGTTTCAAAATAAATTTTCTTTGTAGGGCAAAGTTTTAGGGATTTGCGGACACGTTGGAAGTGGAAAGAGCTCGATCATGTCAGCGATATTGGGGCAGGTATGCTACCTTTTAAACATTTTGCAGAAAGCGCACACTATCTAGTGGAGTTACTTGTAATGTTGTACATTTTTCTGTATTAAATTATTCTATGGTTGTAATGGTCGAATAAGAATATCAACCTCAGCACTTGCAAAGTACAGGCATCAAGCATGTGTTGTGCAGTGTCTAAAGTGTCAGCCTAGGACCTGGGAGATCAGGGTTCAAAACTCCACTCAACTTCTGTCAATAGGCAGGGAGTTGCAAAGTGTAGGTGTTGCCACACTAAAATATTGATTTGTTACAAGTGAAGAACAAGTATCCCATGGTACCTGTAACAGTGCAAGTTTCGCAGATTGGAGTGGCCGAATGGGCGCATACGGGGTAAGGGAAAGGTAACATGTTGGTAACAACCAGTGCAGATCTCTGAGAGAAGTGTTACATGTCAGCAACCATGCTACAACATTGTATTATTATTATTATTATTATTATTATTATTATTATTAATACTCCGCCCATCTGGCTGGGTTTCCCCAGCCACCCTGGGTGGCTCCAACAGAATATTAAAATCACAATTAAACATCAAACATTAAAAACTTCCCTAAACAGATCTGCCTTCAGATGTCTTCTAAAAGTCAGATAGTTGTTTATTTCTTTGACATCTGGTGGGAGGGCATTCCACAGGGTGGGCACCACTACCAAGAAGGCCTTCTGCCTGGCTCCCTGTAAACTCACTTCTCGCAGTGAGAGAACCGCCAGAAGGCCCTCGGCACTGGACCTCAGTGTCCGGGCTGAACGATGGGGGTGGAGACACTCCTTCAGGTATACTGGGCCGTTTAGGGCTTGAAAGGTCAGCACCAACACTTTGAATTGTGCTCGGAAACGTACTGGGAGCCAATGTAGGTCTTTCAGGACCAGTGTTATATGGTCTCGGCGGCTGCTCCCAGTCACCAGTCTAGCTGCCGCATTCTGCACTAACTGCAACTTCCAGGTCAAGCACAAAGGGAAACCCTACAATACAATGCATTGCAGTAATCCAATCTTGGAGCCACCAGTGCCTGAACAGCTGTGGTCAAGCTCTCCTGGTCCATTCTGGAAGAATGGCCGACATATTTATTAATAGCTGTGGCTAGCAAACAAGCTCCCCCCCTCCTCCGGCCTGCCTTGCCCACCAAAACTAACAATCCACTTCTGTTTCACTTGACATTTTAGCCTGTCCCCAAATGCAGCCCCAAACTGCACTGAACTCTCCAGGTGAACGCAGAGCACATGGTGATGCTTTATATAACAACTGAAAATCGTGCTTGCTTTCTGAGGCCCATTTCCCTTATTACAAATGTTTGCACCTTCTTCTTTATTTAGTATACACTGCTTAAGTTTCTCTAGACTGGCGGTGGGGAATGTGCTGTCCTCCAAATGTTGTTGGATTCCAACTCCTGTGAGCCCCAGCTAGCTTTGCTCATGGCGGGGGGGGGATTGTGGTCCTTTGGCACCTGGAGGGCCACATGCCCCCCACTTCTGCCCTGGGCAGGAAGGATTGCCTATAAAATATGGAAATTCAGAAATGCATGCCACTGAATTAGGAGCAAGAGGAAGAAAAGGAAGCAGGCAGCTAATCTGCTCTTGAAGCTGCTCTCCGCCACTATTACAAAATCTGTGTCACTCACTTAGCACTCAATTTCAATTAGATGTAATCAGGGCACCTCTCTATGCATTTGATTTTCTGTAATGGAGTGATTAGGAGGATCCAGACTAAACACCAGCAGTGCAACAGTGTCCTCTGAAGCTGTGCTTTTCAGGGTGGGTAGCATGTGCTGTAGACATCAGGCGGTTTTTGCAAGGCATTCTCTCAAGTTTGCAGTCGTACGGGCACTTACTTGCAGGTAAATGCCACTCAGCTCAGCTGGCGCTTCCGAGTAAGCATGCATAGGATGCAGAAGATCACCCTCTTCTTATCCTGAATTGTTTGATCCTGCTCCTAGGTTTATTGCCAAGGTAGGGACCCCCCTTTTTTCAGCCCAAGGGCCCTCCCATGAAACCTTCTGAGGGCCACATTCCAGTGGTGGGCAGGACCAGAAGCCAAAGTGGGTGGAACAATAAATATGAATTTTATTTTTGCACAGCAGGTTAGTTGCTGCAGCCACACATGCACCTGTCTGTCCTCCAGCCAGGCAATCAAGGAGCGTTATCAGAGTTCAAGGACACATTTTAGCCCTGCAAAAGCTATCAAGGAGGGTGGGAAGCAGGGCCAAATAGGGGGGTGACCTGGGGAGAATAGGTGTGGCTAGGAAGAGTCTCAAGGGTCAGAGAGAAAGGCCAGGGAGGGCCGCACCCAGACCTGAAGTTCTCAACCCTTGGTTTAAAGTCTGAAACTTATTTTTGTAGCCTGAGCTGGGATTTTTTATTTTAATGACATTTGCGCTGATTCTATTGTAACCATCTATTCTTCAATGATACGTAATTTTAACTTCGTGTAATCCATTTTGAGCTGGTTCTGCTTAAAAAAAGGGGGGGGGGTTAAGCAAGACAGAACGTTTTTAGTTGATAAAATAATTATGCGCTCTGCTTTTTTCAGATGTACCTCCATGAGGGGACTGTCGCAGTGGGTGGGACTTTGGCATACGTGTCTCAGCAGGCATGGATATTTCACGGGAGCGTCAGAGACAACGTTCTTTTTGGAGAAGCATACGATGAGCAGAAGTAAATATTAAATTAGACAAGAGGATAATGAGGTTGTCACCGTGTGTGTGTGTGTGTGTGTGTGTGTGTGTGCACCTGCCTCAGAAACATTGCAGGTTCCTTCCTAAACATTAGCTTTCTCTGGTCATTTTATGTGAAGTGTGCAGGCAGGTTTCTACCCAACATATTACTAAAGAGCAATACAAGTTAAATAACTATAAGGCTGCGATCTTATGGTGCGTCGCAGCTCATTCTAGGCGGCCACATGTTTATTTGGGGATCTTCTTCTCCCAAGGAGCAGGGAGAGGCACCCACCCTTAGAAAGGTCAACCTGACTTTGTCAGCCAGGGGGTCACAATTTTTTTTGCAGCCCATGGGCTCACTTGGAATTTTGAGGAAGTGGCTGCCCCATGTGTGGCATGGCATAAAATGGCTTCCCCGTCTAAAAGAGCGAAAGGAGAGGCAGAGCCACAGAATGGGGTGGATACACCAGCCATCAAAATGTGGTAAAGGCACCTACCTCAGCCACTGTTGCCATCATCCATGGAGAGAAAGTCTTTGCACCTTTCCTTTGTTCAGAACAGGCAGCAGGCCTGAAGGAGGCCTCTGTGGACATTTTGTGACTGGTGGCCAGGGATTGACTTCAGAAGCACCCTGGAAGGCCCATTCCCTCACAGGCTTTTAAACTCAGGGGGAGAATTCCACCTCACACATCAGTGGATTTTGGGGAAGTGTGGGGTTTGTGTGTTCATACCAGAGAAAGACTGCTTCTATAGTTCTTAGTCTGGTTTGTCTTCTCAGCTGGGTGCTTCTCATTCCAGCGATCCAACATAGCGGTCCTCATGTTTCAGTTATCCCCCCCCCCCATTTGTATTGTCGTGTGGCGTGTGTCAGATTCCAACTGCCATGGGTTGTGCTTTGAAAGTGTAGAATAAGAGGGAAATAATAATAATAACGATTCGTATCTCTGAATGTGTTACGTCTGCCACTGGCTCACCAACAGAGGCATCCCTCAAAAATCAAAAACAGCAGCTAATGAGACATGGCATTGCTAATTAGTGTCATTTCAGTCTATGCATATTGCTTTTTAATTTGGGGAGATTAATTAAAGCCAGCTTTATAAACGGAGCAAACTGCCTTGTGGTGAGTGACACCCATCCATCTAGCCCAGGGGGAGGCAACTTTTCTTCCTCACCCCACTATCGATGGCCACATTTCACCCAGCATTGTCTTATCAGGAGTTCCAGGCACCCAGAGCACCTTCAGCACCTTGGAGAGCTCCTAGGTTTCTGCTGAGCTAGCTTTGCAAGTTGTTGTCTCAGCAAGTGCCCAGCTCCAACTGAAGCCTTATATAGGCTGGCTGGACCATAAAGCAGCAAGTGTTGCTTACTGCTGCAATTCTAACCCCACTGACCTCAGAGCATGTCCCATTGAATCCAGCATACTTCTGAGTAGACATGGTTAGGATAGCCTTAATCTATTTTATACATTAAAACCCAGAGCAGAATAGCAACGAGGGAGACAGACTTCAAACCAAGCTAAAAGCTAGCCAATTTACAGTTCATCTAAAGTTGAAGAGATGGGTCAATGTCTGGTTCCACAATTGGGGTGCCACCCTGACCATTTGGGCCTCTGCAAGGGGCAGGGTGCTTGGCAGGACTTCTGATGCTGTGGGAAATGGGTGAGCAGAGCAAATGGGAGGTGGTGGTCCTTCAACTATCCTGATCCCATACTACTTAGAGCAGTGCAGGTAAAAACCAGAGGAAGAGCCATAGCTCAGTGGTAAGGCATCTGTCTTGCATACAGAAGGTCCCAAGTTCAAGCCCTGGCATCTCCAGGTAAGCTTGAGAATGTCTCCTGTCTGAAATCCTGGAGAGCCCCTACCATTCCATATAGACATGATGGAGCTAAATTGACCTAAGGTGGCTTCCAACATTATGTTAGTTCCACTTTGAATTTTGCCTGGGAGCGAACTGAAAGCCAGCGTGCTATTAGTGATTTTTATGTATTAGTATATACTTAGTTCATATCTACAAAACTAGCACAGGGTCTCTTGCTTGGAAAGAAATAGTGATTTGCAAGAGTCTGAATGCTCCATTTTTTTAAAAGGTACAATTATGCCATTGAAGTCTGCAGCCTGAAGTCAGATATGGACCTTCTTCCATACGGAGATATGACTGAAGTAAGTGTCTCAATACAAGCTGCATTTAACTTGGCCATTCAGCACATGCTATCGAGCGCCATTTTCTGACAAATGCCCTCCTGTAAGGGCTTTAATTCATAGTGAAACAGCTTTCCTATTCTTACCCTATCCATCAAGGCATTGTCAAATTAATCTTGCCAAGTCCCTTTTGATTTCACGGGCTGGGGCTGGGGGCTGGGGAGGTGCATGAAAGCACACAAGGGCAACAATCAATCTAGCCTCAGTGTACACTTCCTGACATGTACAATAAATTGCTATGTGGATTAGATGTCCCTTACGGGGAGTGCCAGGGTGGCAACCGTGGCACACATCTGCCTGCAGAGGCCTTCTCTAGTCCACTCCTGCTGTTGAATGAAGCATTTTGTTGTAGCCAGTAGAATAGGTTGCTCTCTGTGTGTGTTTTCCCACAACAGTTTCTCTGGTTTGCAAATTGGCCCGTAGGCCCAAAATGCTCAGTGACCACTTGTGACGTGTTACTCAGCCTGTGTGACATGACCATCAGGACATAAGAATATAAGAAGATTCCCTACTGGATCAGGCCAATGGCCTGTTTAGTCCAGCATCCTGTTTTCACAGTGGCCAGCCAGATGCATGTGGGAAACCCGCAAGCTGGAGCTGAGCGCAAAAGCACTTTCCCCTCCTGTGGTTTCCAGCAACTAGTATGCAGAAGCATTACTGCATCCAGTTGTGGAAGCAGAGCATAGCCATTGATAGCCTTGTTCTCCATGAATTAGTTTAGTCCTCTTTTTAGAGTCATCCAATTTGGTACTGATCTCTGCCTCCTGTGTGAGCAAGTTCCATAGTTTAACTATTTTCAGGTAGGTAGCCGTGTTGGTCTGACGAAGTCGAAATTAAACAAAAACAAAAACAATGTCCAGTAGCACCTTAGAGACCAGCTAAGTTTGTTCTGGGTATAAGCTTTCGCATGCATGCACACTTCAGTTTAACTATGTGTTGCATGAAGGAAAACTTCCTTTTATTTGTCTTGAATCTTCCAGCATTCATCTTCTTTCCTTAGGCCCTTCTAGTGTTATGGGGGAGGGGAACCAACCACTTCTCTACTCACTTTCTCCATGCCATACTTAATTTTATTTAAAAAATTCATGACTCCACTTACCTTATCTGCAAACTAAAACAAACAAACCCAATACTACAACCTGTCCTAAGACTTGTTAGCTAGCAACCCACGGTGTGGGTGGGTCCCTTTCTTTCCACCTTTCAAGGCAGCCTTATGATTGAAGATGAGACTCTAATTTGTCTCGGGGCCAAGACACCCTTTGCATGTTTTGTCTTGGACAATTTAACAGGAGCAGAATAGGGAAGCTCTGTCTGGATCTGTTTTATTTTTTAAGCACCTCACCTAATTTTCAAAAGAGCCACAAAAGCAGCAAATGAAAATCTCAGGGTCTTCCTGTTTCATTTCCATCTGGGTTGCTCTGTATTTCCCTGTGACTGATTACAATGAAAGCAGGTCCATATTTAGGGAAGGGGGTAGGGGTTTGGGAGGATAGAAACACTACAATAATGGATTTTGGCACTGTGTCCCCCACAGGCCACCTTGTCAGTGTAAATTTATATTAAGGGCGCTCTCTACCTGGGATTATTATTATGTGTAATCTAGCTCGGAACTCAATCGCATTTGAGCTATTTCTGTACTGCCGTGGCAGATATTTGAAAAAGACACAAGGTGCCTCATTGGAGTGTGTGTCTGCAGATCTGTCCAAGTGTCTCACATGGGACATATCCCCAGAAGAATAATCTGGAGAAGCACACATGCAAACTCCCTTTATAGACATCCCCCTATAAATAGATCTCCTCTTCCATCTGAGCTGCTATTCGCTGCAGAAATGTAGAGGTATAAGAATGTGTATTTATATAGTTGCACACCACCCCATTCTCCAAGCCATGAAAGTCTCCAGGGGTTCCTGTGCTTCTCCAGGGTTCAGTTTCCTTGGAATGAAGGTCAGTTGAGACTGGGTGGTGTTAGGACACACATCTATGCAACCTCTGCATAGGATGAAGGGGCTCACAGCAATAATACCCCACCAGACCTTGCTTCTCCATTAGTCGCAGCTTTCTTCCAGCACAGAGCAAACATGTCTCTGTGTCTCCAGCTTCCAGCCTGCGTCCAGCTCAGCTCACACAGACCACTCTAGCTGCTGTTCTCCTACCCAGCAGCTGCAAGGGACAGGGAGAGAGGGAGGCACATCCATTTGTTCTATAGCACAGAGCAACTTATTTGGTTATGCTGATTGCGGTGCTTAACTAGTCGGCCAAAGCCACTACGTAGGCAAAATGGACTGGTTTGGCAAGCTTGCTCTTGCGTTAGCGGGCAGAATGGTTTTAATGTTGCGCAACAGAGGAATCCATTGCAGCAGTTGCTTTCATGGAAGCATGTTGCACAACACCCTGTGTATTCCATTGTGCAACAAAGTAACCAGCTAGCTTATGCATTCCCTTGTGCAACAGAGTTCCGTGGCTGCAAAACAGTTCCTAGCGGAATAAGGATGCTACTAAGGGACTTTAACTTAGCACTACGTTGGATACATAGGAGCCAACTCCTAGGGGCTGAGGTCCCTTCAGCCCCCTCTCAATAAAATATTTGAGGGAGCCAGCCCCCCCTCCAGATAATGGGCATTGCCATCAAATGGTGTTTTTATGTGTCACATCTTGTGATTGATTATGCCTGGGGGGGGGGCCTTACCTGCCCTTCCATATTTTATTCAAGTTGGCACCCCTGATTGCATACAACACATTGTATATATATTGAATACGGCAATTCTTCCCTTTTAAAGATAGGGGAAAGGGGGCTGAACCTTTCTGGAGGCCAGAAGCAGCGAATCAGCTTAGCTCGTGCTGTGTACGCCAACAGGGACATTTACTTATTGGATGATCCCTTGTCAGCGGTTGATGCACATGTTGGCAAGTATATTTTTGAAGCATGCATCAAAGAAGCGCTCCGAGGGAAGACTATCCTCCTCGTTACTCACCAGCTGCAGGTAATGGAAATGGAAGGGAATGGGTTTCAATAGCTTAGCATATGAATTTGTTTTTAAGTCTTACATAGGACAGACCCAGCGGCTGGAAGCTGCCTTATAAGAGGTAGGCCATTGGTCCATCTAGCTCACTGCCCACATCTCTCTGGGGTTTCAGGCAAGGTTGTCTCCCAGCCCTACCTGGAGACGCCAGGGATTAAACCTGGGACCTTCTGCATGCAAGGCAGATGCTCTGTTTCGTTGTTTCATTGTTACTCTCCTGCCGCCAGCTTAATAAAAATGAAATAACAGCAATACACCAGCAGGGGGCACAAGAGCCACAGCTCAAAGCTTAAGGGGCTCAGCTTTTAAAAAAATAAAATTCAGAAGAGAAGGAAAGGCATTTCTTCTCAGTGATGCTGGAAATTTGCTGTTGCTTGACATAGATGGAGCCATTCTACGCACAAAATATGTGTGCAGTTCAAGCTAAACACACCCTTAGACTTCCCCCCTTCAGTAATATTTAGTTCATCTGCTTCAGACAGGTGTGGGAACAGGGCCGGCCCTAACATTAGGAAGAGTCAGGCAGACACCACAGGTGGCACATGCTGAGGAGTGAAAGTGCTGAAGGGACAGTGTTGTGTGCTACATGTGTCCAGTCTCTGGTTGGACCACAACTTGCATTTATTCCAGATCATTGGCTGAGCATACTGGGGATGATGGGAGTTGTAGCCCAACAGCTTCTGGGGCCTCAAAATTGAGGAGTGTTGCCCTAAACTAGCCTCAGGTGCAAGTAGACAATATTGCCTCATCACCTGCATTGTTGATAGTAAGGCCCCCATCTGCACTGTACATTTAAAGCAGTATCATAGCATTTTAAAGAATAATGGCTGCTGAATTTTCACGATTTGAATAGTGCAAACGGGTGCAGGAATGTGGAGGACCAAATTTAACACTGGAAAAACGAGAAATGGAGGGAAACCAAAACTGACAGGTTCATTCATCCCTAGGCAGAACCCAGCAACAGCCTGCTGTCTCCTTGCAGTTTGCACCAAACTCAAAGTACTTTTCTACCTTTATTGTTCCTGAAGCATTGCAGTCTTTACACGTCTCTAACAACTTTGGGAGGGAGGGAGAATCGGGACGCGCTCTCTTCCTTGCTTTGCCTGGTGCACAGAATGTAGCATTTTTTCTATAAACTATAATTATTATCCTCAACAAGGGTGCACGACGGCAGAACATTTGATGTTTTCCGAACTACAAACTGAAACTTGTCTTTATTCTGAAAATGCATTTTGCAGTGCGTTTTCCCTTCAGCTCATTTCCCGCTTAACCAATTTTCTTTCTCTCTCCCCCCCCACTCCCCATTGCCTTTAAACACACACACACTCCAGTACTTAGAATTTTGTGATGAAATCATATTGCTCGAAGGTGGAGGAATATGCGAGAGTGGTACCCACGCAGCGCTGATGGCTGCGAAGGGGCGTTACGCTCATCTCATTGAAAACCTGCACTTGGAGGAAACGCCGGTGGGTTCCAGTCCTCAACGCTGACATACCAGGGCAAACAACAAGAGCAAGCGGTTGTGTGCCAGCTTTTTACAGGGGCCATCTTGCTGATGTCTGTCAGTAACCAGAGGCTGGGTTTGCTGGGCCTTTAAAGGACTCAGGGAGGGAGGACAGGGCTGCCCAGAGAAACTAACCATGATGGCTACGCTCTGCTTCTGTGGTCAGAGACAGCAGGCCTTCTGAATACCTGTTGCCGGAAACCACAGAAAGCTGGGGTCCTGCTCATAGGCTTCCCATTGGGGCATGCGAATGCCTGCTGTGAGAACAGAACACTGGGCTTTTGCCTGATCCAGCTGGCTCTTTGTATGTTGTTATGACTCTTCTTCCTTATATACTTAACAGCTAGAATAAGAGTGGGGGTCCTTTGTCCAGCCTGGGGGCCACATTCCCATGGGGGAATCTTCCAAGGGCCAATGCTAGTGGTGGACAAGGTCCGGTGGGGGGAAAACGCAGAGCAATGGATGTGACTCTTGCTTTTTGTATAGCTACATTTCAATGGTCTCCCTCTTTCTTACACACACACACACACACACACACACACACACGGCCCTCTCCATATTCCATGCAGGGAAGCAAGAGGCACGATTATAGTTCAAGAACACATTTCTAGCCAGGAACTATGATATAGATTTGAGATGCAAAGCAGGGCTAGTGCAGGGGGTGGCCTGGGGGGGAGTAATGACCTGTCGGGAGAGGGGAACGCTTGGTACCTGGGCCTGAGTTTTCCCCATCCCTGATAGAGCCATCATTTGTTATTTCAAATGCCTAATTGGACCTTCTTCAGGAGAGGGCAGCTCATCATAATAAAACAACAACACAAAAACAGTTTAATGCACTATAATGCCCTGCAGACAACAAAATGAGTCGCATAAGAACTCCAGGAGACTATTGTCCAAAAGTCTAGACAATTTAAAAATAATAATAATATTGGCATGTGTGTGGACTGTCTGATTTCCCTGGGGAGGGAGTTAACAACCATGTCCTGTAGCCATTGATAGCCTTCTCCTGCATGGACTTGTCTAATCTCCTTTAAAAGTCACCCACACTGTTGACCATCACTGCCTACTGTGGGAGCGAGTTCCATAGTTTAACTCTGTGTGCTTCCCTTTGCCTGTCTTGAATCTTCCAACATTCAGCTTCATTCAGACACGGTGGTGGATGTATGTGTGGAAGAGGATCAGGAGGACGTCCCTGAAATCTCTTACATAGGAACCGAAAATCCCGGTGAGATCATTTAGTATCGTAATCTTCTTTTCAAAATGGCTTTGACTGCTCACCTGACAGTTCTCTCGCATCCCCCCCCAGCTTTTCACATTTCTGATGAGATGAACCAGGAATCCAGGAGCGACCACAAAATGAGAAGAGACACAGGTACTTTGTGCAATCTCTTGCTAATTGGTTTAAATCGATTAGAAATTTAAATGGGTATCGCTGTAATGCTTGGGGGGGGGGCTTGAGCTGGGGGTGGTGGTTCCTATGCACCCAAAAGCTTTCAAGGGGTCTGGAACTGTCAGGATTCGGTTTACATGGATGGCTACATGTGTGCTATACATGCGAAGGCCACATCACTACAGAGTCTAGTCCTGTGCATGGCATGTAGGAAGCTGCATTATACTGACCTTTTTTCCATGCCACGGATTTCAGAAAGGAGCATGTACCTGCTTTGCTTTGCCCTGGACTTTTAAGTTCAGTGCAGGATCCTTTTCTTCCTGCTCCTCCTCATTATTGTTACAGAATCACAGAGTTGGAAATAACCACAAGGGTCATCTAGTCCAACCCCCCCCCAAATGCAGGAATCTTTTTGCCCAGCGTGGGACTTGAACCCATAACCTTGAGATTAAGAGTCTCATGCTCTACCAACTGAGCTATCCCAGGTTAATTTGATTTGTTTCCTGCCCTTCGCCATTACGTTCCAGAGCAAGCAGCAGCCATTTGAAATTCAGTGCTGAAAACAGTTTAAAACCAGTTGCAGTCTCAGGAATAGGGTGGGTCCTAATATATATAAATACGCTACTGGTGTCAAAGGTCGGGGTGAAGAGGTGTGCCTTTAGCATATAACTGCAGCTGTATAATGAAGGTTCCAGGTGCACCTCTGTGGACACGGAATTTCACAACCTAGGACTTGCCACAGAGAATGCCCTTTCCCAGGTTGCCTGCCCCCAAACGTCTGAGGGCAGTGGAGAGAGCTCCCTCTGCTGATCTTAACCCCCAAGAGGGTATGCAGAGAATGGGGCGGTCTATCTGATGTTTGAGACCTTAATCATTTAGGGATGGGAGTTAAGCAAAGTTTTGGCCTAGCGTGTTGCCTGAACTAAGGGTTGTGGTGATGGCTTCTCTTCCTTAACTACAAGCTTCTAGATTTGGGTAAGTAGCCGTGTTGGTCTGACGCAGTCGAAATATATATATAAATAAGAAAATTGTCCGGTAGCACCTTAGAGACCAACTAAGTTTGTTCTTGGATAAGCTTTTGTGTGCATGCACACGAAAGCTTATACCAAGAACAAACTTAATTGTTCTCTAAGAGTCTACTGGACAATTGTTTTTATTATATATATATATATATTAACTATAAGCTGTAAGCCTACAGCAAACCTTGGGCTACACAGGCAAATGATCTGGCTTGGTGTAAGGCAAGTCCTTCTGTTGAATGTTCAGCCTGCGTCCTTGATTCTCCATCCTCCAACTTTTACTGCTTGGAGAGACTGGAAAATATGGCTCATCTCTTATACTCAATGTATTTCTTCCCCTAAAACATTCTCAGACAAAAAGTGTGCTGAAGATGTTTTTTATGCTGAACAAAAGTTATGGGAACGCTGTAAAAACTTCAGAATGAAAAAAATTAATTGACAGCGATGTCCCTGTTTCACATGAACAGCTTTGTAACAAAACCATGCTGGAGTGAAAAAGAGAAACTGATCCCTTTGCTGAATGTTTCCCTTTCTCCTTTTTTGGGAAAAAAAAAGCTGGGTAAAAATAAGGGTATCTTGGAGCAAAAAACACCATGGTGGTTGTCACCTATGGAGGCCATGAGTGTAAAAAAGGTTAACATGGGAAATGATTGGGCAACATAAAAGGAAATCCTGTGTGAGGAAGATAACCAACTGAAACTTAAGAACTTTGACAAGGTAAAAAAATAAGCTGTCAAGCTGGCTAGAATACCACCAAGTATATGAGTTATTTAAACAAGACAAAAAGAGGGGTTTTGGGAAAGAGCATTCAAGATTTCAGCAAGATCTATTATATATCAACCAGAAAACCCTATCTAAAATGTATAAAATTTTATTAGAGTGGTCGGTAAAGGATGAGGAGGTGAAGGCAGTTATGGTGGAGTTGGCAGTGGACCTAGGATGCAATATACACCTGTCAGAATGGGCAAAATTATGAAAGGAATACCTTAAGTTCACAGTCTGTTATACAATTAAGGAAAACTATATGAAGGTTTTCTATACAGTGGTGCCTCGCAAGATGAAATTAATTCGTTCCACGAGTTTTGTCGTCTTGCGATTTTTTTCGTCTTGCGAAGCACGGTGTCGGGAAAGTTTTGGAAAAGCTTCAAAAATCACCAAAGTCTTTAAAAACCTCAAAAAAGGCTACCACACCACGTTCTATGAGTTGCTCCTCAAAGTCAAGTCGCAACTGTATTAACGGTGTTAAGAAAAGGAAACAAACTTGCAAGACGTTTCCGTCTTGCGAAGCAAGCCCATAGGGAAAATCGTCTTGCGAAGCAGCTCAAAAAACAAAAAACCCTTTCGTCTAGCGAGTTTTTTGTCTTGCGAGGCATTCGTCTTGCGAGGTACCACTGTAGATGGTATCTAACACCAAGCAGACTTGCCTTTAACAAATTAAAAAGGATGTTTAAAATCTCTCTCACACACATCCAAACCAGAAGCATTTCTATTAGGGATTGTGGGAAATGAGATTCCAAAAGATTTAAAGAAAGTATTCATGTACGCCAACACCGCAGCAAGGGTTATGATTGCACAGAACTGGAAAAGGGAATGTTTACTGACCAAAAAAGATTGGTTGACCAAATTAATGGAGTATGCGGAGATGGACATGTTGACTGCGCAGATAAGAGATCAAACAAAACGAAAATTTTAAAAAGATTGGAACATATTCAAATAATATTTGAAAGACTATTATGGGGCAATTGAAATTTTGACTGGTTTAGAATTACTTCTGTAAGAAAAAAAATACTAAAATATAGTGGAAAAACAGGAAAACAAACTCATAGACATGTTAAGAGAGGCATTCAAATAAATGAAACAGAGGACCCAAGTAAGAAGGGGAGGGAAGTCAAATATAAAAGGAATATGAATGAATCAAGCAATTACCGGTAAGTGCAATTTTTTGTTTTTGTTATTATTATTTAGAAATACACGATTAGCCATAGGAGAACTGAGATGTTATAACGTGATTCTACGAATGTAAATTAAAAGAAACCAATAAAGGTGATTTGCAAAAAAGAAAAAGAGAAAGAGAAACTGGTCCCTTTGCTGAATGTTTTCATTTTTCATTTTTCTTTTTTGAAAAAAAAAAGCTTTATATTTGATCAGAAAGGAGAACAAGCACATCAATAAGCTTTTGCATTCAAAGGCTGGGGAATATTGATCACTTTCCCGTCAAATCAATGCCCTTTTGCTTTTTAATTCCAGTCACGGATTCCAATTCATTCGACAGCCATTAGGAAAACAGAGGTAGCATTTACCATAAGGTTTCATCTGGGGGAACCTGGCAGTAAGAGAGCATTTCGCTGAGGCTCCTGTGAAGCCTCAAATGTTTATTTTAGTTGATAGACTCGAGTGACGTCCAATTTTACTTAAAATGCATGAGATTTGTCAGTGCTGGATAACATTACAGCGTGAATAAATGCTCGATGGTTTCCGCTCCAGCTCCTGCAAATCAACTCGTTCAGAAAGAGGAGAAGCAAGAAGGCTCTGTTAGATGGAAAACCTACCACGCTTACATTAAGGCATCTGGAGGTATATCCTGCAACAAGCTTCTTTCCCCCCAAAGAGAACCCTTATTTTGTTATTGTAGATTTCTGCTAAAATGGAACCTCTTATAGTATGTAAATATGTAAATGGCGAACTACTCAGGAATCAACCCTGCCCAGAAAATTCACTCTTGATTTTATGTATATGTTGGGACTGGCTCCCTAACTACTAAGCACTGAGGGCAATGTACTCAGCACATGCTCAGAGGCTACTGAGAATATCTCCTGTACAAATTGGTACAGACTTCTATGTCCCCCTCCCCAAGAATCCTGGGAACTATAGTTGATAAGAGTGCAATACATGGTCTGTTAATGATCCATAGCCCCCCCTTCCTCTCCTAGAGAACTACAGTTCCCAAGGTTCCCTGGAAGACAGAATTACCATGTGAAGACAATTAGGTTGGCAGACACATGGAATAAACCCCTCTTGATGGTTGCTGCACAGTTGTGAAATTCGGTGCAAAATCAGAAAGCCCTGTCCCCCCAGTATCAGCAAATGAGTTTTAAAGATCCATTGTTCTTTTTTTGCTGTGGCTTTCAGCGACTAATTATAAACCGAGCTTCAGAAGTGGTGCTGTTGTCTGGTTTTAGAATATCTGAGTTTATGTTGTGTTTTTGTGTGTGCGCGCGCGCTGGCCTTTAAGTAGACATGGATGCTTTAAATGGTTTTACACATCTGGGGGACAGAGCTAGCATGAAAGTAGTTCTGCCTGTCGTGGGCCCTGGCTCCACTTAACCCTGGGTCACCCTGCCTTCCCCTCCATCAGTCTCAATGGGCACCAGCTCCTCCTGTCCCTTTTTTAAGGAAATGTGCAGCAAATTCCCATGCATTTTTCAAGTTTCACTGACGTTCGTGGGACTTTGCACCTCAGGAAAATGCCTATCTGATTTCAGCCCTAAATGGGCACTCATCAGTGCATTGTGTTCACCCATTCCCTGTTTACTAACCTGGCCCGATGGTCCCTTCTTAGGATTCATCCTGTGGTTCTTCATTGTGCTTCTCTTTGTTCTGATGATCAGTTGTTCAGCCTTCAGCAACTGGTGGTTGAGTTACTGGTTAAGGCAGGGCTTACGGGTAAGCACACCTTTCAGCATTATACTGTGTTTTATTTGTATACATTTATCTATTACATAAGGGACGCGGGTAGCGCTGTGGGCTAAACCAAAGAGCCTAGGGCTTGCCGATCAGAAGGTCAGCGGCTCAAGTCCCCGCGACGGGGTGAGCTCCCGTTGCTCAGTCCCTTCTCCTGCCAACCTAGCAGTTCAAAAGCACATCAAAGTGCAAGTAGATAAGTAGGTACCACTCTGGCGGGAAGGTAAATGGCGTTTCCGTGCGCTGCTCTGGTTTGCCAGAAGCGGCTTAGTCATGCTGACCACATGACCCGGAAGCTGTACGCCGGCTCCCTTGGCCAATAAAGCAAGATGAGCGCCACAACCCCAGAGTCGGTCACGACTGTACCTAATGGTCAGGAGTCCCTTTACTCTTTACCTATTTATTACATATAAAGCCCACCTTTCCTTCAAAGAGCACAAGGTGGCAAAAACAGTTCTCCTCCCTGTTTTGTCCTCACAACAACTCTGTGAGGTTGGTTAGGCTAAGAGGTGGTGATAGATCCCAAGTCATCCAGTCGGCTTCATGGCCTGCAGGGATTTGAACCTTTGTCTTCCACTTTAAATTATCTACAGTTTAGTGTTACACACAAACCATAAACTGCGGTTCATCTTAACTACAGTTTCTTGAAACAAGCCAGCTTCTTAAACTGTGGCTTGGAGTTGCTTTGTTTAAGCAAACCACAGCTATGATTCATCATGGCCTGTTGGGTTCGGACAACCTGTGGTTAATCTAAAATGAAAATGGAAGTTTTCAAAGTCCTTCCTTTGGCTATGCTGCAGAGGAAGTGAGTGAGCCCAAGTTTGTTCTTGTTGTGCTAAACTATTATATAGACATTATGTCTGAACTGGTCCGATCTCAAACTACGCATAGAAATAGGAATGTATATTTTAATGGAAGTGCCGCCCAAGTTTACACAAAGAATACGAAGAGGGTTATATCGGTAAGCAGGGTTCCTACTCTGCCATATATTTTAAATGTATACTGCAAAACTGTTGGGTTTTGTTTCGTTTGGCGATATCACTAACTTTCCCAATGGAGTCTTATCTCATTATATAGTCCAGATAATTGCCCCTTGTTCCTGTGTCTCAATTTGTCATTATTTTAGAGAGAGAAAAGTAATCTGCTCTCAATTACAGTTTTCTTTGAAAATCCATTCCTTAAAGGCAAACTACAGCTTCTACCAACTCATCTATGGAATGAGCATCGTTTCCATGATTATCCTGAGCTTCATCAAAGGCTTTGTTTTCACTAAGACAACATTGCGGGCGTCATCGAGACTACACGACACCATGTTTCACAAGGTATTGCAAATCTCCAGCTGGCAAACAGGGTTGTTGCATATTTAACAAGCTGGCTTGATTTTTATCGTCCAATTATGTGCTGTCAGAAAGTCACGGGTCACTCTTTTTACCTAGAAATTATGAAAGGTGTGCTTTCAGAACAGCACCACATTTTAGCATGCAACCCAAAAGCGGAGAAAAACCGACAAATAGGTGGCAAATGGCAAGCCTGGATTTTGGCAGTATTGAGGGTCAGCCTGAAACTGCAATTTTTCACAGAGCTTGGGGTCTTGAACTGGCGTACATGTAGACCCCACCACTACCACCACCCCTGGAGTACAAAGAAGACCCCACCACTACCACCACCCCAGCCGCCAAACAAAAACAGCAGCCCAGCGCTGTATTCACACCACAGCTCACATTAAGGTGGCACAGATCTGTGACCCCAAACACCGAGTGCCACAAAAGACATGTCTACCATCTCACTTTGTTGCTGTCATTTTACCGCACCCTCCCCTTTTATCCGCAGATCTTATGGAGCCCAATGAGTTTCTTTGATACGACTCCCACTGGCAGAGTAATGAACCGCTTCTCTAAAGATATGGACGAACTGGACGTGCGGCTTCCGTTTCATGCCGAAATGTTTCTGCAGCAGCTTTTCATGGTCCTCTCCATCATTGTCATCGTTGCCATTGTGTTTCCTTACCTCCTAATTGGAATCGCTGTCCTAATGATTCTTTTCATTCTACTCTTCCAGTAAGTTGGATGTACCCCCGGGCCCCCCGCCGGTATGTGGTTGTTTTTCCTACCCCAGAATTTCTTTTGAAAATAACAACCACCCTGCAGTGTGTATTTGACCTGTGTGCTCATTCTGCCCCTTACAAGATAAGGGGACCCACTGGTCTCTAATTCCACCCTCCCCTCCTGTCAGTTTGTAGTCCCCCCTTCCTTTCCAGAACACAGTCTCTAAGGGACAGATTCCATTTTGGGCTCCTCTAATTCCCCAAATATCCCCTTTATCCCAACTACAATGGTACCTTGGTTCTCAAACACCTTGGCTTCCTGAATACCGAAAACCTGGAAGTAAGTGTTCAAGTTTGCGAACTTTTCTTCGGAAGTCTGATGCAGCTGTCGGCTATTGTTTCTGGGGCACCTGCACCAATCAGAAGCTGTGCCTTGGTTTTCAAACATTTCGGAAGTCAAATGGACTTCTGGAAAGGATTAAGTCTGGAGCTTTTGTTTTTGCTATTTATTTTGCGTTTTTGTTTTTGAGGCTTTTTCAGTTAATTTGTTTTTGTGATTTTGTGGAACCCAGTTCAGCTACTGATTGGTTGATTGTGTGACTGTGGAAATGGATAAAAGCCCCCCCATCCAAATAATGGCTATCATTAGTGCAGATAAGAATTGTTTTTTAAAAAAATTAACATCTAAAATACTGTCTTATTTATTTTATAGCACAGTACATTGATTATTGCTTTCATTTTATGGATCAGTGGTCTCGTTAGATAGCAAAATTGATGTTAAATTGCTGTTTTAGGGGTTGTTTTTAAAAGTCTGGAATGGATTAATTCATTTTGCATTACTTTCTATGAAAAGCGTGCCTTGGTTTTGGAACGCTTTGGTTTTGGAATGGGCTTCTGTAACGGATTAAGTTTGAGAACCAAGATACCACTGTAATTGAACTTCTTTGGTGCTGAGGTCAGCAGAGTCAGCTCTCTTGGCATTCCTGCCACCCACAGTGAGGAATAACAGCCTGAGAGAGGCATCCTCTGAATTGTAGCAGTCCCTCCCCACAAAGGTGCCTCTAGCATCTCCATTCTGTAGCTTCCACTTTACTTGCTTAGCTTCTTGCAGTTCAGGTATGCTTCAAAGACCCACCTTGGTCTGCTTTCTGTAACCCATTGCGTGCTGCTTCCCTTTGGAATCGTTTCCCTTGTTTTCACAAATGCACAATGCTATTCTAACCCGCCCAGAGACCTTATGTACAGGATAAATTCATTATCCTACAGATAATTATCTTACAGATAATTAAAATAGATCTGGCCTAAGTCTACAATCCTACACCCACTCTCCTGGAGAAATCCCCATGGAACCCATGGCTGATCCACACTTTAGCTTAACCTGTATTTTGATTCTATTGTATACTAATTCAATTCCCCTGGTTCCAAGAACTTCTCTCGTTGTTCCGCAGCGATGCCTTGCAAAAATCCCAGTGAACTGAATCTCAGTTAAGCAGAATCTCTCTTTCTGCATATCTGATAGGATCTGATTTAGCGGATAAGATTGGATTTCCGCAAGAAGAAAAGCTCTCAAACCCAGAGGAATCAAATAGTACACAATATGTTCAAAACAGGGGGTGAAGCCCAAGTGTGGATGAGCCCTCTGTGGGACATACTTTTGAGACAGGTCTGAGGTTGCACTGTAAGACTTCTCTTGGAGGTGGTGGCCAACTGCTTCAAGTTTGCAAATCCAGAATACTCATTAGGAATATTCATTAGGAAGGGATTCCAAGTCCCCTTCCAAAGCCAGGATCTAACTCTGTGCAATCTTACCTGCATTTTGCTGCAGGGTTTTCCAGAGCACCATCCGAGAGCTCAAGCGATTCGAAAACATGAGCAAGTCTCCATGGCTTTCCATGATCATGTCCACTGTCCCAGGCCTTAGCACAATCCACGCATACAATAAGAAGGAGAACTACAGCATTCGGTAAGTTGCCTGGCCCCAAAGTCACATTCTTTCTGTCTCGGTCCCTCGCATGGGGCGGATCAAGCTGTGTCGCTCTTCTTCTCTTGACCACCAATCCTGCATCTTTCCCACCTGCCGGGCCATAGATGAAGCCGCTCCATAAGAACTGGCATCCTGTGGCTTTTCATTTGCGGGAAATGACAAGCTGTGGGGAAGCTTTCCAGATTACGTCACAAATTCTTAGCATTTTCTCGAAGAAAATTGTTACATGTGCGGCCAAGTGATAACCTCATTGGCACCCTTTATAACCCCCCCCCACCCACGCAAAGCATGAAGCTATTGTCAAGACCTGGTTTTTAAATCGCAATTATTCAACCCGTCCATGAGTCTTCTTCCAGTTCCCTTGTAACCTGGAGTCTACCAGCAGAAGGAGGGCACCTAACCATCCCAGTTTCCAAAACCTTTCTTCCCTGAGCTGGTGGAATTTACAAAATGGGCCCAAAGAGAAGAGAAGGTTTGGTGATTACCTGTTCAAGAGGGCTTGCAAAATCCTTACACCCAGAAGCTGGAGTGCATGGGTTTGGAGGGCTCTCAGTCAATGGCTATCAATGGCTACCATCCATGATGGCTATGTTCTACCTCCTGTGATGGAGGCGGTTTGCCTCTGCATATCTGTTTCTGGGAATAACAAATAGGGAGAGTGCTGTTGAGCCCAGGCCCTGCCTGCAGGCTTTCCATAGGCATTCGCTTGGCCACTGTGATACAGGATGCTGCACCAGATTATTTACTGCAATCCTTAAGACTAAATTTCTGTTTAATTATTATTTGCTGATATTTAATTTTATTGTGTGCTATTATGTTCTAATAGATTAATGAATATTACTTTATTTGATATAAGTTGTTTCTTTTAAAGTTATGTTTTTAATTATGACATTTTTGTATTGGATCAAATGAAGGTGTGCAATCTTGATTTTTCTTCCGCTTGTAAACCACACTTTGTACGGTGATATAGAAAGGCGGCATACAAATTCAAAGTGAAATGAAATGAGACGGGAAGGGCTTTTGGGGGCTGATCCGCAGGACTCCTATTATGTCCTTATGTCTGTTCCTATCCGCAAGATGTTGTGGCCACAAACGTGGACAGATTCAGAGGGGGAATAAGACAAATTCATGGAGGATAAAGTTTTCAGTGGCTGCTATTCACAATGCTTGTACACTGCCCCCAGTATCAGAGGCAATGTGCACCTGTTGCTGGGATCGTGAGTGGAGGAGTAGTGTTGTGGTCACGTCCTGATTAAGGGCTTCGCATAGGCATCTGGCTGGCTTTTGTGAGAGCAGGATGTTGGACTAGATGGGTATTTGGCCTGTCCGGCAAGGCTTCTCCTATGTTTAAGGCAGGGTTTGAAATTGGTTTGCAAAACACAGTTTGCCCTTTGTTCTCTCTCTCTCTCTCTCTCTCTCTGGGGGAAATGATAAGAAAAAATAATAGAGAATAAGACCCTCAAGTGCTACTAATCCCAGTGGCTGCATGCTATTGTGCTCATGTTCTGCGTGAACTGACTAGAGAAAGCTTTTATTTCATAAAATTCACATGCTGCTTGATTATTATTATGTTAAGAACCTCAAAGCGTTTTACAAAAAAGCTAAAACAACAAAATTACCAAAAAGAAGAACTGATGACAACGATTTCAGGCTTCCGAAAAGCCAAAACAGCAGTAGACTAAAAACAGATCCAAACTCAGGGCAGCTTTCTAAGTACTATCCTTGGTTTTGGTTCCAGTTTTAGAAAGCTGAACGACGAGAGCTCCAGCCACTTCATGCTGTTCAACTATGCGCTGCGGTGGTTTGCGTTGAGGACGGACATGCTCATGACCGTCATGACTTTGATCGTCGCCCTCTTTGTCGTCCTCAGTCCTTCTTCCATCAGCACTGCAGAAAAAGGCTTGGCTTTGTCTTACACTATCCAGGTAAGTGAATCACCCGGATAACTCAAGCTTCATTCCGACACACTCCAAATCAGACCTGAAGTGGCCCAATGCACCATTGGGGGTGGGTGGGAAGGATCTGTCTGTTTCAGTTTCTCCTTTTTCCAGCCTTGAGTTCAGTTCTCCATGTTTCCCCATTAGTTTGCAATTAATCTTTTTTTTAAAAAAAGTCCTCGTGAATATTCATCAACATTTTAATGCAAATTTCTCCTTTTAACATAAACATTTCCGTATGTGTTTTTCGCCTAATGTATGCAGTTTTCCAATCCAATTTTCCCCTACCATAGCGTGTTTTATATATTTTTCCTCTAATTTATTTGTTTGTTTATTTTATTATCATTGATTTAATTGCCTTCTAAACAACTGTCTTGAGCCAATTTGCCCACAAGATTATTTAAAAAACATCTTAAAACATCAAATAAATTTAAAACAAGACTGAAACCCTAACAAGTAGACACTCGTGGCAAAGACCCATTTATCTAGCTGGGAAAGCCTTTTGGAACAAAGTGTCACCAATTGTTTCCCAAAAGTGCAGATAGTGTCTGCATTTATGATTCTTTTTGCACACTTTGCCCTAGTGTATACATTTCCCTACATGTTCCTTGGCTGGACAACTGCGCTAAAATTTTTGGAGAAGGGATAGTTGTGTTTTGGTTTATGCATTGTTTTGGAAAGTGTGCATTAGAAAGCTTTGCCTTTAAATAAATGCAAACAGAGGCCCACGTGGTAAGCCACCATGAAAGAACCTGCCCTCCAACTGTACCGCTTTAATAGGCACAGAACATATTTTCTTGCTGTATTTGTAAGCCCAGCTGCTGGGACCCCGATATGCAAAGTGCATCCTTCAAATACATCTGGTTGAGTTAGCTTTGCAATCTAACCCCTTTTTGCTAAAGTCAAGCACGGATTGAAATGCTAAACACATTGTTTTGGGGGAGCTAGTTTGTTGCTCTTCCAAAATGTACAGATTTGTGGTATTCTTTTGCCATGGTACTACATGGGGCAATTTGGGCCTCTGTGCATTTTCTGGAGTTTTCGGCAGCTGTTAAAAGTGTGAAAAGGAGGCATGTGTTAGCAAAAACACACAGGAGATCCATGCTGAAGGAGCTGCGGACAACTGGGGATCCTGCCACATGCCTGCTTACCGTTTGCCCTCCAGTGCTTTGAAATGTGTCGCCGTTTCACTCTCTATGGTGTCCACCCTGCCACATAAAATGGTGAAGTGGACCTGAGTCCATGCATTGGAAGATACAAATCTGAAGATGGCGGAGATTGGCCCATTGGGGAAAATAGGACACTGCCCCACCACTCTCCTCTTGGCTAGCCCCCTCATGCCTGCCACCTTCTTCCAGCCACACCAGGGCCGCAGCTTCCTTCCCCTCAGTCTCAGCGTTGGCTTTGTAGAACTTGGAGGAGGACATGGATGAAACTTGAATTACAGGCAACTCCCAATTTACACAGGGGTTATGTTCCGAGGCACCGCACATTTATATGAGATCTCTTACATTTGAAACACCATTAAAAAGTTTGCAGACACCCTCTAAACCTCTGGAAACCCTTGGGGAAACCCTTGGGAAAACCAGCAGCATTTACCAGTCGTCAAACTCTGCCAAATTCCATCACAATGGCTCCTTCCAAATTTGCTTTACCAAACTCTCCACAAGCCTCAACAGTCAGTACAAGAGCTCCTGGAATTGCACTTGCAAAGGCTTGTGGGATTGTTAGGGGCTGTTTCCGCTCCTTTTTTTGCCCTGTCTAGCTCTTTTAAGGCCATTTCTGCCATTTGAAAAGCTTCCAGATTCAGCATGATAAGAAGAAGAGAAGAAAAGTTTGGATTTGATATCCCGCTTTATCACAACCCTAAGGAGTCTCAAAGCGGCTAACATTCTCCTTTCCCTGCCTCCCCCACAACAAACACTATGTGAGGTGAGTGAGGCTGAGAGACTTCGGAGAAGTGTGACTAGCCCAAGGTCACCCAGCAGCTGCATGTGGAGGAGCAGGGAATCGAACCCGGTTCACCATTACGAGTCAACTGCTCTTAACCACTACACCACACAAGTGGACGCATGTAAATTGGTTGTTGCCTATAGTTGGCTTTGCCTGTCATAGGCTTCTCTGGCTCCACCTACTGTTGGTCTCCCTTCCACTCCCCCCACCAGTCCCAAGAGGAATCAGCCATCACTATCTGTAGATAAAAAGCCTTCTTACTAAGGCACACCATTGGTTCATCTAGTCCAGTGTTGCTTTACTCTGACTGGCAGCAGTTCTTCAGAGACTCAAACAGAGGTCCTTTGCCACCTGATCCTCTCTGAACCGGAGATGCCAGGATCTGAACCTGGGACTTTCTAAGTGCAAAGCATGTGCTCAGTCACCGAACCTCAGCCCTTCCTCACATGATGTCAGTGGTCCAAAGTTTGTGGCATCCATAGAAGCAGTCGCAACAGTTGAGTGACTGATGTGGTTATTCCTGGAGCAAGTGAGATCGGTGTCAGAAGTGATCAGCCGACCCAAATGATTGATTATTATGGAATTATCCGAGTAGCCTGGAAAACAGCCAAGGTGGGGGGTCCATCTTCCACAACCCTCCAGAAATTTGTGTGAACCGACCCTCAGGAATGAAGGGCTGAGGATGGGGGCTTCTTGGAATGCCTGAAGTCAGTGACCTTCCATTTTTTCCCCTTTTTTTAAAAAAGCCCCCCCCCCAGGTTCTACAAAACCTTTCCTTGGGGCAAAGAAATGCAGTAGGATATTTCTGCTGTGATTTTCATCTTACATGGCGATCGATATGTTATTTTCTTAAGTCATCTTAAGCATCCTAATCGCGAAACACTCATCATATGCTCCCCCACCCCTTTTCTCCGTCCTTAACCTTTACACTCTCAGACTAGTGATGGAAATACATTTCCAGTTGTAATGGATCTCTCAGAGGCAACAAATGGTTGCCTGTATTTGTTGGCTTAACCTTTCCTCGTCCTGACTCAGAAACTCTGTTCCTGACATTTAAGCTTCTATACAGTGAATGCAAGCAGCCATCTGTTATTATCGCAGGATTAATGATGTGTCGCTCACATCTATGCTTTATGCACGTTAGCGCATAGGGGGGAAAGGCAGATTTAGCTTAAAGTGGTGCTGTTTTCCCTAAAGTGTGAGGCATTTTTATTTTTATTTTGGTCATGGTAAATTGCAAGTCCCTTTATTCAACTCACTTTCTGAGAGGACAGCTCTTTCCTGGGAGTCAGCAGAGCTGCCAGCAAAGCATAGGCCCCTCAAGTCAAATTGTGAACGATATATATATATACATATCTAGGCCTGTAGTTAGTCATTCTCCACGGGCAGTTGTTAACTAGTTCTGAAATGGCCTCGGGGGTTCATTGTTCGAGAGTGTTGCTGCCAGGCCTGTGACTCACTCTCTTTTCCTTAGCCTCCTTTTCGCTTTGAATATTTCCTGCACTTTGCTTCACCCAGTAGCCATCCATGAAAGCAGATGAAGAGGGGCATCCCAGAAGTTGTAGACAGGGACGTAGGAAGGGGGGGAGTGGGGGCGACCCACCCCGAGTGTCATCCCTGGGGGGGGGTGACAAAATCCCCCCTGGGCGGATTGCCGTGCTGCCCCCCTGGGCACCGATCGTTCCCCTGGATGCCAACTGCTGCGCCGACCACCCCCAATGGGTGCTGATCACCCCCCCAAGTGCCGATTGCTGTGCCCGTCGCCCCCCTCAGCAGCTTGCCCTGCCTCCTGGGTGCATGGTATGTGTGCCACTCTGGGTGCCCGGGCGGTTAGCTCCACTGCTGGCTGTAGAGCCAAATTTGGATAAGCAACAGGTTGTGAGATGATGAGTAAACACACCTATTTGGGAATGAACCGACATGAGCTGATTGTCAGTATTTTCATCCCTCCCATTGCAAGGATCACCAGATCATGTTTGTTTTACTTTCTGTCTGAGAGAAAGGAGGCGGCAGAAACTACTCTTCCAGACTTTCATCCCTAGTACAGTGTGGCTTTTTCTTTGATCTGTCTAGAGACAAGATGGCAGTATGAGAGAGCTGTTCCTCTCATACATGTTTGTTATTGAAATATACTCGGAGTTGAGAGTGGATTTCATGCTCTTTATTCAGCTCATAGTGGTAAGGAGGAATGGAAGTTCCCTCGAAATGTCTGCTTTATATACATTATTTACACAATGGGCCCCACGTGATTGGCTAATTCCGGGATTCTCCTGTAGGCCAATCAGGTTGCGGATTCACTTCTACCTTGAGCTGGATTGGGTGGCTCCTGTGGACCAATCAGACTGCTGCATTCTGGATCCTATTGTTCTAGGACCAATCAGACTGCTGCATTTTGGATCCTATTCAACTCAGTACATAACAGTTATGTTCTTTTATTTGTTTAATTAGAAGAAATAAATTAGGTATGCAGCAAAACCTCCACAGCTTTGCTTCCGTTACTCTGCTGTTTTGAGGTGCTCACATGAGCAAATGTGAGTCCACTGCACCAGGACCTATTCCTCGGGAATGCTGTGCTGCTGTTCCTACGTTCCTGTGATCGGAAGGTCAGAGAAGGTGCTCCCGACACCCAGCCCATGCAGGCGCTGAAGACGTGGGCTGTACATGGGTGTACGGAAACTGATCCCATATGTCATGGACCGGTTGGACACAGAAGAATGGTGGGAGGAGCCAGCTGGGGAACCTCCACAAGGGAAGAAGGCCCAGAGCCTGGGAATTGGTGGTGGGACAACAATGAGTGGTCAGAGGAAGGGGAAGGAGAAGACAAGGAGGAGTTGTTGGAAGCTGAAGAGGTAACAGGGCTTAGTGAGTGGGGGGGAGTCTGTGGCATCAGAGGTAGAAGCTGAAGTAGGAAAACGGGACGAGGGAGGTCAAGAGGCAGGGATAACTCTTTCCATGGAGGCAATAGCAGGCAGTGTGGTGGTGGCACTCATCTGACCGCTGGTTGGTCATGCTACTGCCGGTACAGAAAAGGCATTGAGGTGCAGACACACCAGTGGGAGCACCAAATTGGCTCCACAAGTGCATTTTCACCACGCCAACCTCACACCCAGTACTTCCTGGGAAGCAGCAGCAACAGTGTGGTGGGGCGGTGGAGCTCACCTGACCTTTCAAAACTGGCACTGACTCCGGCAGCTTCCCAGGTTCCTGTGTGGGAGAATAACACTCTGGTATATCCTGCAGCGACTGCAATGAATAGAACTGAATTCTTTCTGCTTTTCTGTTTGGCGCACAGGTAGCTAAACATCCCCCAGCACAGCTTCCTGATCTTTCCCCTTCCTCTCTTCCCCTCCTTCATAGTTGAGTGGACTTCTGCAAGTGTGTGTGAGAACAGGATCGGAGACAGAAGCTCGATTTACACATGTCGAGCAAATTATGGAATATATCACGGTAAGAAGGGCCCCTGGCGAGAGTATTTAAAGCAATTCTAGCTAGGCCCTATCTGTACTAAAGCAGTTTGATACCACATGGAACAGCCCCCAAAGAATCCTGGGTAGTGTAGTTTGTTAAGGGGGCTGGGAGTTGTTAGGAGGCCCCTAGGTAAAGGTACAGTAAAAGGTATTCCCCTCCCAGAGTTACAGTTCCCAGAGTATCATGGGAAGAAGTTTGGCTGTTAAACTACCCAGAATTGTAACTCTGTGAGGAAAATGAGGTGCCAGCGCTCTAGGTCCCAGGATCATTATGGGGGTGAGCCACTACTGTTTAAAAATTTTAATGACTGATGTTTTAATGTATTTTTAATCTTTTGTTGGAAGCTGCCCAGAGTGGCTGGGGAAACCCAGCCAGATTGGGTGGGGTATAAATAATAAATAAATTATTATTATTATTATTATTATTATTATTATTATTATTATTATTAAGGTGGCATGGTGCTGCTTTAAGTGTATAGTGCAAATTGTAGATAGACCCAAGTTAGTTTGACCTACCAGTGCAGTGCAGCGTTATGAGGGATGCTGAGAGGGAAATCAGATCAGAAGTGACATTCTCAACAATCACCACAGCCCTTGAGGTGTTGGTCCATTATTTCCAGTGTGTATTGACTTCCACGCAAACACGAACGCACCCCCAAACGCACCCCCCTCATTATCACAGCTCAGTGACTCATTCCTGCCTGGCAAGAGAACTTCTGGTACAGTGCAGTTGGTAAGGGATGTGGTTTGAGGAGAGGGGTGTGTGACCAGTGTGGAATGGAGTTCTGGGAGCTGGAGAGGGCTGCACACACACACACACACACACACACACACACACACACACACTGTGGGGCCCCCATCAGTAACCGGGACTGCACTTGCCTTGATAGCCAGTTGCGGAAAATGTTTGCACCTCTTTAAAAAAAGCCCAGTCCGTGACCCAAGTTGTCGTGATAGCGGATGAATCCCACCAGCCCCCTGCCCTGCTTTCTTCCAGAAATGTGTTCCTGAAGCAGCAGAGGGCAAGGCAGTTGCTGTCCCTCCCCCAAACTGGCCTTCTCAGGGTGAAATTACCTTCAAGAACTACCAGATGAAATACAGAGAAGACAGCCCCTTGGTGCTTCATGACCTAAACATGAACATTCACGGCAAGGAAAAAATCGGGATTGTTGGCCGGACGGGCTCTGGTGTGTTACTTTTAGTTCAGTCCTGCTGATTTATTTGCTTATTTTGTGGCTGGGGAGGGTGGGTGGAAGGAGGGCTTCTGTATTTCCCTGACACTGCATAAATGCTCAAGATAGACCACTGGGTCCTGACGGACCTAGGCCAGGCCACCCACCATATCAGCAGCACAGGGCAAAAGTATTGCCCCTGTAGCAATGTTTTCCCAAAGTGCTTATTTTGCAAGTAAATGGGTATGTTAAGAGTCACCATCTGAGATGGAGCTCAGCCTGCCCTGTTTGCTTCCATCCCCTACCAGATAAAGTATCTGTGTTGAGGGGGGTTTTCCCGTCCTTTTTAGCCATGTGCCAGACTGCAGTCCCTTGATCCCATCCCATCAAATCCAATGGGAGTCACTGAGAAGGAAGCATGTCCCTATTTGCATAGTCCCACCCCTTCATCTGCATAGCTGAGTTCTGTTTCTTGGTGCAATGCTGTGTTCCATGATGGGATGGAATATTTGCTTCTTAAGATTCTAACGGTCTTACTCAGATTAGACCCACTGAAATTAATAAAGTTCGGTGAGCCATGTTCACTGACTTCAGTGAGTCTACTTTGAGTTGGACTCTCATTAGGTAACACCTTAAACAAGAGACAAACTGTTTGAAACTGCTTAATATATATTATGTAACATGAAACTCCACCAACCATCCAGCCAAGTCATTGTCCCTATCTGCATTGTCCCACCCCTTCATCTACATAATTCAGTCCCATGTTCCATTTCTTGGTCTGATGTTGTACTGTGGTGGAATATTTGGCTTTTAAGAGTTTGAGTAAGAGGCAGACTCTTTGAAACTGCTCATTATATATGATGTGGCATGAAACGGAATCTATCAACCACCCAAACAGCTATTTCCTATATGATGGTTATGTGTGCTGTTATGGACTGGGGGGGGGGGGATTAATTTGGTTCACATTTAAATGTGAACCTACTCAATTTGCATTCCCCTAGACCAATATGCAAACAGAAACACAGCTCTCCTTTTGAAATTTGCACTTTTCCAAATTTCTCTCCTTTATGTTGCTTTGTAGGGGCTTAGTTCTGAAAAGTGACAAATAATTGGACTGGATCAATAAATATTCTGCTTATCATCCTATAACTCCTTACAAATGGGCTTAAGAAATGGAAAAAGCATTGAAAGTATCATATGATGTGTGTGTGAATTTGTGGAATATTGATAGGATGGGCAAACCCAAGGGCGTAGGAAGGGGGGCGGTGGGGACAGCCCGCCCTGTGTGTCATCCCTGGGTGGATTGCCATGCCCCCCAGGCGCTGATCGCCACACCAATCGCCCCCAATGGGCTCCAATGGGCACGCCTATTGCCCCCAATGGGCGCCGATCGCCTCCCTGTGTGCCAATCACAATGGGCACTGATCGCCGCGCTGATTGCCCCCCTGTGCACCAATTGCTGCACCAGTTGCCCCCAATGGGCACCAATCGCCCCCCTGGGTGGCTTGCCCCGTTCCCCGGGTGCACAGCATGTGTGCTGCTCCAGGTGCCGGAGTGGCTACCTCCACCACTGGGCAAGCCCTGCTGGGCTCATATTGGATTGCCTTGGATTAAATCATTTCCCTCCCACCCAGAATCAGGAAATAGCTTGGCTTAATCTGAGACAACCAGACTCCATTTGGATCCCATTGTGATTTCAGTTCATTACCTGATGGAATGCAATCTTCATCCGATGGTCCTCCAACCAAGCCCCTTGCTTATCTTCAGGTTCTGGAGGGAAATGCTGGTTTAACCTCAGAAATCACCATCCTGCACACTTGATCTAGAACTTTTTCAGTAGGATGAAAACCCACGTATTTGGTTTTTTAAATGCTGCATTCATCTTTCAGGAAAATCATCCTTAGGGGTCGCCTTGTTCAGACTAGCGGAACCAACTGCTGGCACCATCCTCATTGACAATGTTGATATCCTCACTATTAGTTTGGAGTCTCTAAGGACCAAGTTGTCGGTCATTCCTCAAGATCCCGTTCTGTTTGTAGGTACAGTAAGGTAGCTGTTGTGACGATTATCAAATTAACCTTTGCCGCAAAAGTGAAAGCTAACCAACTAGTGCTGGTTTCAAAATCGCTCTGTAAGGGAAGGGGAAGAACATCAACATGATTTGCCCTCTGCTGCAGACCGGAGGTTGAGAGAGAGTAGTTTGCATAAAGTAACCCAGTAAGTTCTTGGCTCGGGTCATAGAGAAAGGGGGGGAATGTGCAGTGATGCAGAACCTGAACTTCTGGTAAACAATTGAAAGGCAGACCCTGTGAACACCAAGTGGCTGTCGTGGCATCTCTACGGTATATGTACTTTGCATTGGAAGTTAGGACGGAAAACCAATTTATGAAATTATTTTATTGATTTATTTATTTAGAGCATTTGTAGCACACTTTTTAGCCAAAAAGGCTCCTGGAGTGGCAATTTAAAAAAGACAGTCCCTGCCTGCAGGCTTACAGTCTTTTAAAAAAAGACGCATAAAGGAAAATGTACAGGGAGGGAAGAGGAAAATAAAAACTCAGGCGTGAATTTGTATAATGATCAGCTGGCACAGTTCAAGGGAAGAAGGTTCCTGATGGAGCTGATGGAGTGAGCCTCCTGCTTCTGATCTCTCCCAGTGAGGCAGCCTGATGGAATGGCTGATTCCAGGTGTCTGTTGAGGGAGAGGAGACCTGATGGGGTGAGCTCTGCTTCCCAGAAAACATGCAGATATATATATGTTTTATTTACAGTGGTATCTTGGTTTGCAAACGTAATCCGTTTCGGAAGTCCGTTCCAAAACCAAAGCGTTCCAAAACCAAGGCACACTTTCTCATAGAATGTAATGCAAAATGGATTAATCCGTTCCAGACTTTTAAAAACAACCCCTAAAACATGAGTTTTACTATCTAACAAGACCATTGATCCATAAAATGAAAGCAATAATCAATGTACTGTACTGTAAAATAAATAGGACAGTATTGTAAATGATTAAAAAATAATAATTCTTACCTGCACTGATGATAGTCATGGTTTTGATTGGGGGGGGGGTATCCATTTCTGCAGTCACATGATTAATCAGTAGCTGAACTGGGTTCCACACAGTCACAAAAACAAATTAACCGAAAAGCCTCAAAAACGAAAACACAAAATAAATAGCAAAAACAAAAGCGCCAAACCTAATCTGTTCCGGAAGTCCGTTTGACTTCTGAAATGTTCGAAAACCAAGGCGCAGCTTCTGATTGGTGCAGGAAATGATAGCCGACAGCCGCACCGGATGTTCGGCTTCCCCAAAACGCTAGAAAAACAGAACACTTACTTCCGGGTTTTCGGTGTTTGGGAACCAAGGCGTTTGAGTACCAAGGCATTTGAGAACCAAGGTATCACTGTATTTCCTTTCCTTTAAGTTATAGTATACCAGAAAGAAAAATGCATGCACACAAAACGTTGTACATAGTCAAACAAATATCCTAAGAAGCACCCAGTCCCCCCAAAACCCAACCCCTCAGACATAAGGACACATAAGCCAGTCATTCTTAAAATAGTCAGTGCCACAGTTTGTATGTAAAGGGGTTCAAGTCCAAGTACATTTATTCAGAAGTAAGTCACACAGAGCTCCACACATCTTATTCCCAAGTAAATGGCTTTCAGATTGCAGTGCCATTGGACATGGTGGGACTTACTTCTGAGTCAATATGCACAGGATTGTAGTGTAAGGCAATGGAAGCCCCCTTTTCAGTTTCAGAACTCTATGCATTTGCATGTAAAAAGTATAATGTCTCATTGAGCCGGTCAAAGGTTAAACACATGGAGGAAGATGAGAGAAATAGAGTCTGTTTTCCAGGTAAATAAGGAGATCTTATACAATGGTCATGCAGTACAATGTTATCAGGATTTCTTTTCTCTCTGGACTCCATTGGTGTTATTTAAATGACCTTGCTAACACCAATAATATTTGTATTTTGGTTAATAAATTGGTTTGAAATAGTAGAATGAGAATTCCCTGGATGCCCAGATGCTGGTTTGGGGCAAGTACTTGTGGGTGAGAAAGCCCCAGCAAAGATTTAAAATCACAAAACATGCAGCAAAGTAAAGTGTGGAAATATAGGCTGTTAGACCTTTAAAATATCCCCTTCTAAGTTTATTCCAAAGCTCCCACTTCCCTTTAACATAAAAAGACACCACACTGTTCGGTAAGTTAAAAATGGTTTACTTACAAACTCTTCAAAGGTCAGATTCATGTGCTTTTCCATAAAGCAGCAGCAACAAAAGACAGGCAGTTTAACTTAGCTTCAAAACTGGTAAATGTTTCTAAATTATTTGTATAAAAACACAAAGATGGCTTGCTAAACCCACACGGTCTGGCTTGGAGCGACTAGCCCAGACATCCTTTCTGGTTGTTTTCATGGTGGAACAGAGAGAGAACAAAGGTTTTGGTAGGTAACCCTTCCTCCCAAGGTGAGGGTGTGTGACCTAGCTAAGCCTGGCAGGACAGTTTATGATCTTAATCCCTTCATGCCTTAACTAAAGCTATGCATGCTGTTTATATGAGGCTGATATATCCCACAGATAACTTCTTAAGAGCATAGATGCTGCCTTTCTCAAACAAACCAAAGCCCATTTAGTCCAGCATTCTGTTCCAAACAATCAGATATCTCCAGAAGCTGACAAACAGGACATGGCAACAATGTCCCTCCATCTTTCTTGTCCTCAGTCTCACCTGTGCAATAATAATGAATCCAAGGGTCTAGTCCACAAGAACTGCAGCAGCAGGCAATGTTTTCTTTTGCAGGGGCAATGTGTTTCTTTCATTCTCATTCCTACCTTACAGGTACAACTTAGATCCATTTAAAGACCACACAGACGATCAAATTTGGCAAGCTCTGAGCAGAACGTTTATGAAAAACACAGTATGTTATATATATGTGTGTGTGTATTTCTTTGTTTTCCCAATCTAATCTATTATTGCCAGATGTAAAATGACAGCATATGGAAAATTTTGATTCCCTGTTAACCATGCATCATTAATCACAAGATACAGTACCAAAACAGTAGTGAGAATAATGTGGCTAATATTCAGTCCCATTTAAGATTTGAACAATTAATGTTCACTAATTACATTCTTAATTGTCCTTTCCTCTTTTTATTTTTTTTAAAGGCAGAAATAATTGATGGCTGGAGAATGGCATTGCAAAATTCAGAGAAGTGTAGATTTTGAAGCATGGCTGTATTTTGGTTCTTGTATTGTTTCAGAAAGCACAAATACGTGTGTGTGTGTGTGTGTGTGTGTGTGTGTGTTGTGCCTTCAGTTCTACAAATGCAGCCCCCATGTTGCAAAGAGACAACTCTGCCTATTCCCAACTCCCTTGCTGCCCCACCCCACCCCCACCATTTACACCTATTGGTGACCACACAAACTACAGCAAAACAACTTTTTCCCTTGTACATAGTAAGAGATGTATACCTCATAGTGTTCATAAGGCTGTCAGGCTCAAAAGCCAGGGATCTGGTAGCTCGGGACAGGTAATGAGTAGGCAGAAGACCGACAGAATCTTAGCAGAAAAGGGAGAAAAATGGGGAATTTAGCAGATTTAGAAGCTTTAGAAAGAAGTGGAATAGAACAGGTCCTCTAAAGGTAAAGGTAAAGGGACCCCTGACCATTAGGTCCAGTCGTGGCCGACTCTAAGGTTGCGGCACTCATCTCGCTTTATTGGCCGAGGGAGCCGGCGTACAGCTTCTGGGTCATGTGGCCAGCATGACTAAGCCGCTTCTGGCAAACCAGAGCAGCACACGGAAACTCTGTTTACCTTCCCGCCAGAGTGGTACCTATTTATCTACTTGCACTTTGACATGCTTTCGAACTGCTAGGTTGGCAGGAGAGTCAATCAGTTCCTGGGTCAGCAGGACTATGGGCACTTACCTGCAATTTCTCCTCCAACCAGAAGCATGGGATGAGCAGAGAATTGCTTGGAGGCAGTAGCACCTGTCAAAGCCTTAGAGCAGCTCTAATAAAATCGGCTTCCCCGCCACCCCACCTTCATTTTAATTGTAAAACTATAAATGTTTACACAAGCTGCTCTGAGCATTTGCCCAGGTGCCGCAGGATTTCAATTTGTTGTTCTGCTTTCCCACCAGTGTTCCATGTGAGAGGAGGGAAATCCAAACAGATTAAGCTGGGATATTGACTCAGCAGCCAATAATCTTCTGGGTCCAGGTCAGGGATGGGGAAACCTTCTGATGTGGTTGGACTCCAATTCCCATCAGCCCCAGCCAGCAGGGCCAATTTTGACCAATTATGGGAGGTGTAGTTAGGAATGGAGGAGGAGTTCAATTCGGTTTACATTTAGAAATGAACTGGTTTAATTTGCACTTTCTGAAACAATACAAGAACCAGAACACAGCCGTCCTTCAAAATCTACACTTCTCCAAATTTTGCAATGCCATTTTCTAGCCAGGCAAATTTTACAAAAATGAAAATACTGGGGTAAAGGTTGTATATAAATGCACATATATTCATGGAAATAACATACAAAGATGCATTATATTAAAGGAAAGTGCTTCACAAAAATTTGTGTGTTAGACAAAATTGCAAACAAACTGTCTATATTAGAAGAAATTCACACTTAAATGCTGATGGATTTCCATGAGGACTTTCACTTTTTTAAAAAAATGCAAACTCATGTGTAAATGTGCAAAACAGAGAGAGAGAGAGAGATTCACCCCAAGTTGTACTTCAACTGCATCTGGAGAACCACAGGTGTTCTCCATCCTTTGGGAAGCAAATCATGTGGAAACCAGAAAGAGAGGTTAGGGCAGGGGAGAGAGAGAGAGAGAGAGAGAGAGAGAGAGAGAGAGAGAGAGTGTCAATCTATTGGCTGGTAGTTAGTTTTACACACACACATGCGCACGTGTGCGAAAGAAATACGATTTCTCATTTTTTCATTAATTCCTTTATTTATTTCAACAGTTTGTATACCACATTTGTTTGTTAAGGGCCTTGTAAAATAACACAAGAACCTTGAACCTGGCCGGAATCACCATTGTGCGGTGATTGTTTGCTCAAGACAGAATCTGGTTGCCATCCCAAAACGTCTCCATGCCAGATCTTTTATTCACATCACTCCTTCGTCATTCCGCCTGCCCTTCAGTTGCTTCCCCGCTCTCTCACCCTTGCCTGCCGCCATCAAATGTTCAAGCGGCTTTTGCCTCTTCCCTCTTGCACATCCTTCTCCTTATACTTGACAGGGATCAGTGATGTTGTGTCAAAGATGGTTTCCTGCCCTGTTGCTGTTGTGTGTGCAACAAATAATAAATTGTGTAATCATGGCAGCGTTTCTCTTGTATCCTAGGTTTCAAAACTGCCAGAAAAGTTAGAAGCAGGGGTGGCTGAAAATGGAGAGAACTTCTCCGTGGGGCAACGGCAGCTGCTCTGTATGGCGAGGGCGCTCCTCCGAAATTCAAAAGTGAGTTCCCGGAGCGGTCACTGTTTCTCGACTGCTCCAGAATGCATAAGGCACCTTTGGTCCTAAAAGCACACTTCTTCCTGCCTTTCTCCTTCTTTGCATTCATTTCTAAAGGGAAGGGCTGTAGTTCCATGGTAGCGCATCTGCCTTGCATGCAGAAGGTCACAGGTTCAATCCCCAATTGCATCTCCAGTTAGGGCTGGGAGAGACTCCCCATCTGAAACCCTGCAGAGCCCCTGCCAAGTCAGTGTAAACAATACTGCAATGCAGGAACACTGACCACCATGAGAGGAGGATGCTAGACTAGATGGTCCATTGGACTGATCCAGCAGGGCCCTTCTTGAGCTCTTGCTTTCAGTGGGAAGCCTGCTAGCAGGACCTGAGAACAACAGCACTCTTGTGATTCCCAACAAATGGTAAAGGTAAAGGTAAAGGGACCCCTGACCATTAGGTCCAGTCGTGGCTGACTCTGGGGTTGCGGCGCTCATCTCACTTTATTGGCTGAGGGAGCTGGCGTACAGCTTCTGGGTCATGTGGCCAGCAGGACTAAGCTGCTTCTGGCAAACCTGGAGCGGTACCTATTTATCTACTTGCACTTTGAGGTGCTTTCGAACTGCTAGGTTGGCAGGAGCAGGGACCGAGCAACGGGAGCTCACCTCGTTGCGGGGATTCGAACCGCTGACCTTCTGATCGGCAAGTCCTAGGCTCTGTGGTTGAACCCACAGCGCCACCCTCATCCCACCAACAAATGGTACCCAGGGACATTTACTGCCTCTGACAGCAGAGCTGCTTGCAGGGATGAGTGAGAGAGACCTGCTCCTTTTGAAATCCTGCTGGTGGCCTTCCCAGAAGCATCTGCAAGAAACAGGATGAACCTTAGACCTGATCCAGCCAGGGTTCTTTTTCACATTCCGTTCCTGAGCTTGCCAGAGCCCCCTGAGCTGATTTCAATAACTTTCTGTTATTGGACCTTATTCAAATGTTCTTCCTATTCATTCCTCCCCTGCTGTGTTGATACTTCCACCCCGCTTTATTTGTGCTGCTGCGCTGATTTATGTTGCCTCATTAATATGACAAACTGCTGAAATTATAGCACAGTTCAAGAGCTATAATAATAAATTTGGGGCACATTTCACGTTCATCATGATGACACACCACCATCACGGAACTTGTCAAAGCAACTGCAAATATTTGCAAATGTTTCAGAGGGTCTGGTGTGGGTGGGTCCTGCTTCCTTCTCTATTGGTGCTGCTACCTGAGCAGCCATCCTTACCCTAAAAGCAAGGTGGTGCTATTGCTTTAGATGACCAGCACACCCCCTTGTCCTTTCCCCCTTCTTGAAAAGATGTTGGCTTTGTCTGCCCTAGCTAATAATGAATCCCAGTATTGGTTTGTTGTTGTTGTTTAGTCGTTTAGTCGTGTCCGACTCTTTGTGACCCCATGGACAGTATTGGTTTAAGTGGACCTTAAGGGATAATGAATTTGGGCTCTTCCATGGCAATCACAGTTTATGGTACCAGATCCTCCTGAATGCTGAAAAACTTCACCGCGTCCCTCCTTCAAACAGTGGGAAGCCATGATTTGTTTGAAACCTGTAAACCAAATTATTAGCTGGCACTGGGTGTTCACCAGCTGCACTGCCTCTTGGCTTGTTTCTGGGTGCCAGTCCTGATGTCTCTAACACAGTTCAGAACAACAATACAGAAGTTTCTGTATACCACGTTGGTCCAGTGTTGTCCACACTGACTGGCAGCATCTCTCCAGGGTTTCATATCTACCTGGAGATGCCAGGGATTGAACCTGGGACCTTCTGCATGCAGGGCAAATGCTCTACCACCAAGGTGTGGCTCTTTCCCAAGCACAGGTGGCACATATTTCATTCTGTTACAGAATGAAGTTGCAGAATGACCGAGCAAGATGGCTGTTGGTGGAGGCAGTTCAGGGCAGAGCCAAATGGCAGCTGGATTCTTCCTTTGCTGCAGCTAGGCTGAGTTCAGGGAAGAAATTCTGGGAGGGGGAGAGCCACATGGTTCCTTTCTGGCCAATGTGAGTGCCTTCCTGTCTCATCTGTCCCTCTGGTGCAACGAGGTAGAATGGGATGCCAGCAGAGTCACTTCTGTAAGGGGAAGAACCAAATGAAAGCTGACTCTGCTTTCTCAATGAAGGCCGTAACTGCCATTGGCACAGAGTTCCTGTTTACACACACTGCAAAGGGAGCGTGAGAGTCAGGACTCTTTTATGCCTGCTGAGTCCTAAATAACTATAATAACACAATAAACATGCAGAAGGGAGAATGGCAGGTGAAGTGTGTCATGCAGAGGAGAGGAGAGGTGCACCTGTTGAGATTTCAGCGACGCACACCTTAAGGTGTGTGAAATTCACCCACACCCACATCAATTTCACCAGGTGGTTCTGTGCTGGGAAGCTGTAATTGGTTGCCAGTTTCCAACGGGTGTCTGTGAGTCCTTGCGAAGTCTGTGTCCACGGCAGTGTCTCTCTGCCATTTGGGAATGTTGATGTGTATCGCTTGTTACTCCCACCATTGTTAAAGGGCAGTATCTGGTTTCCCAAGCAGAGACACCACTGGCTTTCTGTCATTACGTTATGTCTGGAAAATTGAACTGAAAGGCATCAAATTTTTATTTTCTTTTTAATGGTATATGAGAACGAAGACCTTAGCAGACCCACTGAGAGAGGCTGTTTCGGGCTGAAATGTGTTTGGATGTTTATTGTATATGAAACAACTCCTTTTATTTTATTCAACTTCAGATTTGTTATACATTTGTCTTATAATTTGACTTCCCACATTCCCTTCCATGTTGTTTTTATACCTATCCCTTTTATATAGGGCATAATACCATACTTTTCACCTAATACACATTTCTCCATTCCTTCACACATTTTATCTAATATATGTTCCTCTGTTTCATATATTGCCATTTCTTCTCGTATATGAAACAACTTCTGATTATCTGCCCTAGGGCAGCGTTTCCCAAACTTACAATAACCCCTTCATATCCCCTTTTTGAGAGTTCAGTTTTACTGCCATGCCCCTTTTCAAGCAAAAGTAATTTGGGGGTGCTTCTAATAATACTATTTTTAATTGCTTTGTGTAGCTAAAAACAACTATGGTCAAGTAAAATAAAATAAAAATTCTGCCTTATGCCCTTTGAAACCCTTTCGTGTACCCCCAGGAGAATGCACAACACACTTTGGGAAACGCTAACCTGGAATGACTATTATCAACTGCAGGTTTTCTATAAGGTGTTTTACGTAAATTTGTCTTAGAAACACGCCCCCAATGGTCACTCTTTCTTTGTTGCTATGAAATGTATCGGGGGATTTTCAAAGCCCTGGCTGACCTCTGGAACATCTGAATGGGATTTGACAAAATCTGGCTCACGGACTAATATTTACACATGGCTAGGTGTGCCCCATGGTGTGGGAAGAGTGATGGCAAATTTAGCCCTGTGACATTTCATCTGCGAAAATGTGATGGTTCCCACTTACCAGCATTCTGCAATGCTTGCTGGGGTGTATGTGTGGCTATATTCTAAAATTGTTAATGCAAACATCATTACTCCTGCAGATAATACTTCTCGACGAGGCGACTGCATCCATCGATTCCGAGACGGATGTGCAGATTCAGCAGACCATCCGGGAAGCTTTTGCCGACTGCACCGTCTTGACCATTGCTCATCGTATGAACACCATCCAAGAGTGTGACCGTGTGTTGGTGATGGATAAGGGGAAGGTACTTAGCTATAGAAGTAAATAATAATGATGATAATTGTCAGGGAACTGCCATCAGCTCAGAGGTGAGAGGTGGAAGGGCAGTTGTGTTACAGGGAGCCTCAGAAGATCTTGCAAAGCAGTTCCTCCTCTGGCGAGGAGGGAAGCCCCCCTCCAGTGGGGAGGGGGTGCAGGGACCAGAAGATGCTAGGGAGAGCCTCAACACTGAGCCTGAGCAAAGTAGAGGGGAGCCCCCTTTGCCTGCGCCCACTCTGCGCAGTAGGTTTGGGCGCAGAGAGGGGAGGAGAAGCATGGGGGGTCACATGACTGTTATGCTGGGGAAGGTATAAGGACCGCCCACTCCCAGATTCTGCTAGCGACTGAGCAGACATGGACTTATGACGCTCTGCACTGTAAATAGTTTGTACTAATAATAAAGCCCGGAAAAGACAGGTTGGAGTCTTGCCTGTTTGCTCTTGAGCAACCACACCAACACCTGATAAGTATGATAATGATAATAAGCTTCATACTTCCTACCGAGGACCAATAAAATTGGCCTGGAATTGAGCTATCTTCTAAACATAGTTTCTAAAGCTTTTGCAAGAATTTCAGTTCCTTTGAGTCTCATAGCTCTTCTAAGGCAGACGATATCAGCGGACCTTTGCTCTTGCATCTCTTGGTGGAGAAGGCTGTTGGGTGCTCCAGGGGAGGTGTGGCTAACTGCTGGCCTCCTAATGTTCAGGGATGATGACTGGAATTGTAGTCCAGCAATATCGGGTGGGGTGGGGGCACAGATTAGGCACCCCTGCCCCATAACATGTCCTCTCCCTTGCCCTTTCATTGCTTTTGTTGCCTCTCCAGGTCTGCAGTGGCCATAGGGGAGCAGCCACCCTGCCCTGGAAGTCTATTACTAAGCACCAGGTCCAGATTATGCAAAACCTGAGTGTCCAAAGAGGGCAAGGACATTTTTTTAATATAAAAAATTGATGTTATTAGTGGGATATAATAGAGACAATCTTTCACATAAGCAGCATGGACTGATATAATGGGTTATTTTAAATGGGAGGCACCAATTGCAGATGAGGCAAGGAAGATTGTTAATCTCCTGGTGGCAGCAAATATAGTTTTAGCCCAGCTTTGGAAATCAGCAAGACACCTGAAACATCACAGAGGGAGCTGGGATGGCCCAATACATTTTTCTTCGTGAGGCAAAGGGTAAGATGGTGCCCACCCCACCCACAGCATTCCATGTGCAGAGGCTGAATGGAATTTCACTCCCATCCCCTTTCAGTACTGGCAATAGGATATTTTCCTCCAGCAAACTTGAGGGCAGAGGCTGACATGGTGGCATAGCTCTGTGCTCTAACACCTTGCTGCCTGTTGCTTCATCTTGTCTAATGGCAGGAAAACACACAAGTTTAGCACATCAAAGAAATAGCCTTCTAAGGCAATGTGATAATTTTCAGGAATGGCAAGTCTTTGTGCTTACTTTGGGGTAAGTGATGCTACCAAAAGGCTGAACATATTTTTTTTAAAGTGTAAAAACACACACACAAACATGTATTCATCAGTAATGTAGACTGGGGGACATTAAACTAAAGGATCTAAAGGAACTGAAAGCTGTAGGCACACCCCACAATTAATTTTAGAAATCCTCCTACAGAGAACTGGAAACCAGGGCAAAGCAAACCCACAATAAAGGAACGGAACTGAGGAAATCCTTTCTTCCCTGTTACTATGTTTCCCCCCCATTGCTATTCTCCTTCCCCAAGGCAATTTTCACATGATAGGATACTCATAAAAAAACGACCCCAACTGCACTGTATTCTTGCTTCATACTTGACATTTGCTAACGCATCTGACATTTGTTCAATTTCTTTCCCAATGACTTTCAGATAGTGGAGTTTGGCAAACCGGATGAGCTCCTTCAAAAACCCAATTCCGCATTTGCATCACTCCTAGCCGCTACAAGCAACGTCGGATCCTAGACATGAAAATACTGAATGGTGCTTTCTCTGTGGACTTCAGAAAAGAAGGCTTAATATGGACAGGAAGAACAGAATTGATATCTAACGTCTTGCCGACAAAGAAATATGATAACCTTCACTGAAGGCCACATTTAAGGGCAAACTGTGAAGCTTGATAGAACCAGGGGCAGCTGAAGCTAAGAACTAAATAAGGGGAGCAAGAAGGACTTTGCAAAAACACATGGCATTGGACTGCTGATTTTGGAATTCATTCAAAAATATAGCCCACCTGCAGGGAAACCTGTTAACATGATGTGTTGGATCAGCACATTTTCAGAGGGTGCTAACATGATCGGCAGACTTACCAGAGGGGATTCACCCTTAGCATCCCACAACAGTTAAACAATGTACTTTACAGGCAAATGATATAGATCTGATCACTGCATAGTGACAATGGCTGCAACTCAGCCAAGGTAGGATGTGACTGAGCCCCACCAAAATCAGTGCAATGAGTTAGTTACAACTAACTCAAGTCCCAGGAATTTCAGTGGAACTTGTGGCAACCAGTCTCTGTTGGATCGGAGCCACCACGTATCATTTAGGCAGCTGAAAAATTCTGGCTGGTTTTTAAAGGAACAATTCATCTATTTGGCTGTCATACTGTAAGCAGATGGGCTTCTTCAATTCCATTGACTACAGTGGGATTTAAGCAGCCTAGCTGGGTACAGCTTCCGCCTTTAGCTTGTACCTGGTGCTTGCAAGGAAAATGCACTGCCGTGTTTGGGTAAAAGGAGCCCATGCAAACCAGCTTGTTGAGCACCTGAATGGTCCAATAGATTTCAACCAGAACAACGTAAGTATATGCTTATCTCGCCAATTGGAATCAATCGTCAAAAAACAAAACAGAACACCAGACACTTACCTTTGGCTGCATTGTGCCCAGCACTTCTCTGCATACCATGTGATCTGTTTTCCAAGAAGAGAAGAGAAAAAGATACATAGGCTCCAGTGGAGGAAGCACGCTTGTAGTTTGTCATTGAAGTATGCAGTAAAGAATACCGTCCACTGTAACGTCACTTGTTAATTCATTTTTCTTGCAGTTATAGGTTTTGGAATTATCACCTACCGATTTCTTATTTACAACAGACATATTTCATGTTGGCACATGCCCGCTGTTGCAAGCATATGCTTTTGTTCTCTGCACAGTACTACATGCAAAAGCATTAATATTGCATTATATTATATTATATTATATTATATTATATTATATTATATTAATTTGTACTGCCTTTCTCCCAAGCTGGGATTCAAGGCAGCTTAAGACATTTAAAAACATTATATAATACAAACTAATAAAAAGCAATAGTTAAAATACCTCATAACCCAAGACATTTAGAACCAGCAATTAATACAGTTTCCCCTGACAGCAGCCCAGCGATAGGCAACACCTGCACCTCAGTTTTCAAGGATCCATCTTAACAGGGAGGTCTTAACCTGCCAGTGGAAGGACAGCAAAGAGGGACCTATTCTGGGAGGGAGTTGGCCAAAAAAAGCTTAACTGTGTCGGGATTTTTACTTCTTGAAATATGGCAAGCCTAACAATATGGGAGAAGAAAAGTCTCTCTCTTGCCACCAGCTGTGCTTCCTATGTTGGTGGGACTGAGAGAAGGTGCTCACTGCCATGTGGCCTCCAAAAGGTTGCCCAGAAGGGAATGTGGCCCTCTGGCCGAAAGATGTTCCGCATCCTGATGCATGACTTAACTGCTGGTGTCGGGGTGGCTGCTGCCAGGGTCCTCGGGCTGAGGGCAGCTACCCAAGGATTAGAAAAGTTTTCAGCAGGTGTTTTTACAAGTTAACACAGAAGGTTGCTGCTGAGACTCTGTCTGCAGGACAGCCACAGGACGACGGCGCTAAAGACTTCTCATTGTTGTCAAATGAGCCTCGCTAACTTAGGGAGGGACCAGCGCCACTCCTGCAGATGATCTCAGTGACTGAGCTGGGATATAAGAGTTCAGGGAGATGGACTGGGGTGGCGCTGTGGGTTAAACCATAAAGCCTAGGCTTGCCGATCAGAAGGTCAGCGGTTCGAATCCCCACGGCGGGGTGAGCTCCCGTTGCTCAGTCCCTGCTCCTGCCATCCTGGCAGTTCGAAAGCACGTCAAAGTGCAAGTAGATAAATAGGTACTGCTCCGGCAGGAAGGTAAACGGCATTTCCGTGTGCTGCTCTGGTTCTCCAGAAGGGGCTCAGCCATGCTGGCCACATGACCCAGAAGCTGTTCGCCGGCTCCCTTGGCCAATAAAGCGAGATGAGCGCCGCAACCCCAGAGTCGGTCACGACTGGACCTAATGGTCAGGGGTCCCTTTACCTTACCCTAAGCCTAAATTGCTCAGGGCTTTGTAAATTTATACATCAATACGTTTATAATTTCCATTTTGTTTAATAGTGTTACCTCTAGGGGGTAAGTGAATTCCCACACCAGTAAAGACAACCTCAGTGGCTCTTGAGTTATTAAAGACCTGCAACACTGCAATGCGTACCCACCCTCAGTTAAATTGACATATCTTATGGCTGTTCACATGGGATAAAGTCTTGTTGGGAAGTCTGAGTGTATTAATTTAGTTAATATTTGTCTGTTTCCATGGTTTGAAAGCTCCCAGGTTGCCAGCTCTGTGTGTATCTCTATTACACAAATTGGCTCAAGTTCTACATTAATTCCTGGCTTTGAGTTACCCCAGGTATCTTTTCTCTCTCTCTTTTCCCCCCAATCATTTCACAAAGTCGTTCTTTTGTTTCTCGCTAGCACTAAGGAGAACAGAGAAAAAGAGCAAAAGCTGTTTCCGAGCAGCCATAAGCGGCGCTCCGGGTGTGAATCTAAAATGCTCCTAATGGATACTGAAGCTCTACATTGCATGCCTAAGGGATAGTGCACAATTGCTACAATGACAAGAGTCTCATCTGGATGCCTTCAGAAGCTGCAGCGGCATCAAGAGCTGAAGGGAGGAAACCAAACCCTCCTCTGCTAAATTGATACTGGCTGCATGACTCATCCACAGGGATGGAATTTCCCAAAGGAGAGCAGCCCACCAGCCAGGGAAAATGATGCTTTATCAGAGGAGGCAGCCAGGGATGCTGGCTGACAATTTGTTTGTTAGGATAATAGCCCATCAGATGGACCATCAGTGGGAGAAAATGGCAGGAGGTGGCCTCCTGAGAGCTGGAGATATACCCCGAGTGTTTTGAAGGGGACAGTTCTGATGTGCAACAGAAACGTGACAGAGTGGAGTTTACCAATTCAGGTGCCCAGCCAGTCAGGCATGCCTCTCTTCCCAGGATACTCCATTCCACCCCAGCCCTTTTCTGCAAAAGGACTTGGGTTTCTCCAAGCCCACTCATACCTCCCTCGAGTGCAGATGGTGCTGTTTTGGCTACATTTGGAGAGTGAAATTGGTATTAGTATACAACAGCAGCAAGGGTGTCATAAGAGGTCAAAGGACTGTTGCTATTTCTGCAGCAGAGCTCCTGTCTCCAGTTTCCCAGAGCTGCCAAATCGGCATGAAAGACTTTTCGGCATTGAGAAAACGTCTTCTCACCCTTTCTCTTGATTGCAGCCAGTCAGAATAAAAGGAGGTGAACCCAACCACTGAAGAAAGAACTGCATGCCAATTGACCACCCCAAATTTTGCCTCTCTAACTCCCTCAATTTTCCAGGTTAAAGGGACTACAAACTGATTTTTTTCTCTGGAATTAAATAATATGGAAGTAAGTGCAAAACATGTAAAAATGTAAGAACACAAGAAGAGTCTGGTGCATCAGGCCAGTGGCCCATTTAGTCCAGCATATTCTCACAGTGGCCAACCAGATGTTGTGGGAAACCAGCAAGCAGGAGGTGAGCATAAGAGCTCTCTCCCCTCCTGTGATTTCTAGCAACAGGTATTCAGAAGAACTGCTGCTTATGACTCGAGGCAGAGCATAGCCATAATGGCTAGTAGCCATTATTATTATTATTATTATTATTATTATTATTATTATTACCCCACCCATCTGTTTGGGTTTCCTTCATCATCATCATCATCATCATCATCATCATAATATTTTATTTATACCCCGCCAATCTGGCTGGGTTTCCCTCCTCCATTAATTTATCTAATGCTTTTTAAAAATCTAATCCTGTGGGAGCAAGCGCCATAGTTTAACTAGCATAGCTAACAGCTAAGTTCCCTGAGAAACAGAGCAACAGGCTTTGGCAGCGACAGAGATGAAATAATAAGCAATCACCGCTCCCTTCCATCCCCCACATGCATCTCATACCTCCTGCCACAGCTCCTGTTCGGCAGTTTGGTGCAGTGTACCAACAGAGGTTCCCCTTAATGCATTTATTGGCAACCGTCTGCCAGCTTGAACAATGGCTGTCAATACATTGACTAATCTCTCATCATGCCTTGAAATGCCAGCAACCCCCCCCCCCCGACAAACACGCATAATCTGCGCTGCTGCAAAATGAACTCCATCAAGCCAGCCTGGGATCGTCTCAGTCACCTCCAAGATCACAACATATTCCTGAGCCCTTTAATGTCTTCATAAATTTATGCAGTCCTAGGAACACGTACTAACAAGTTCTGTGGAACTTGGTGCAACACACTTCCAAACAGTTCCAGGAGAAGGAGAGTGGGGGGCACTGAAAGTGTCTTGCCCTTCCCAGAACCTGGTGTCAGCACTAGTTTGTGGAAACTTGCCCACTTGAAATATATGCATGTTTTGCATATACACACAATCTTTCTTGTTGACTGTAACCTTTGAGCCATCTCCATGTGCTGTTCTCCAGCACTGCTTGGGGCTCCCAATATTTTGAGCAGAAGAGGCTCAAAATATTGCACCTGTAACCTCAAGAAACAAAAACTCTCAACGTGGATTTTCCACAACACATATATCTGTAAAAGCTGGAGATATAAGCATGGTAGCAATTACATCTTGCACATAATTACAGTTTCTACCCAAATATGAAATTTAGCTAGTTACTATCCAAGTGAGACCAATCTAGTTTCAAAGAAAGAGGCAGCACACACCTGCCCCTCTTATGTAGAAACCTCTGGATTTTGCACAGATAGCCTTCGGCGCAAAGGTAAAAGTCACCCCCAACACTGGAAAGCAGCCCCAGGGAGGATGCCTATGAAGAAATGAGGTCCAAGCACAGGAACCCTCTCACCTCTTGTGGCTTCCAGCAACTGGCATTCAGAAGCATTGCTGCCTCTGATTGTGGAGGCAGAACATAGCCTTGACGGCTAGTTGCCATCAATATCAGTTTCCTCCATGAATTTCTCTAATCCTTTTTTAAAGCCATCCAAGTTGGGGGCCATCACTACCTCCTATGGGAACGAGTTCCATGGTTTATGTACATGCTATGGGAAGAAGTCTTTACTTTCATCTGTCCTGAATCTTTCAACATTTAGCTTCATCACAATAAATCAATAAATCTTGGAACTGTGGTTTACAGCTTACAGATCTGCAATTCACAGCACCCTTAGCAAACTTCAGTTCTCAGGATTCTTTGTGGGTGAGGGACATGTGCTTTAAATGTGCTTTGAAGACATGGTGCATACACAGTTGGAGCCATCTGGGCCTGGGACAGACTTCGAACATGGGCTTGTAATGATAAGAGCTTAGGATTCAGCGTGGATTTAAATGTGCTTTAAATGTGTGCTGTGCATGCAGCCTCAGCAAACAAAGGTTCACTAATAGGGCAGGAGACAGCTGTAAATTATAGAGTAGACACTGGGGGGGCTGTCCTCTGCTCCCCTTTTCCAATTAACTTCCCTCTCCAGGACCCATCCCCATGACCATTGGTGGAGGAAGAGGGGGAGAGCGCACCGCCCCTGACAGTGCAATCCCGGTGGGGTGCCATCGTGGCTGCCCCCTGTGCTGGGTGTCACACCATGCCCCCAGGATGCATGCCAGCCCCGCCTCCACCTGCTCCACCTGAGCCCTAAAATCTCAGGATCTGGGTTGTTCCAGACCTGGCAACCTTATTCAGTACTAAGTAAACAGTTCAATTGGTACCTCAATGAAATATTCT